AATGATGCGCCTGGTTGGAGACCCCTTTCTTACTACACCTTCTTTAGTCTAAGATTGACTAGCGTGGGTGAGGTGATGTCAACAGTGGGTGAGCAAGACCTTTCTGCGCATTGTGTGGGAAGGACGAAGAACGGATGTGGTTGGTTGGGGTTGCTTGCTGCTCTGTGGAGCTCACGTGCGCTGAAGTGGTCAATGAGGCGGTGATCCACTCGACAACAAGGTGACAGGCAAGATGGCTGCGCCGTCTAAGGAGCCATCTGAAGGTTTTCCGTTAGGCCAAGTAGTAGTCTACGGGGGGAGGGTGGGCTGTAGTGCTTGGGCGGGGGACTGTTGTGTGTTGTTGTTGTCGCTGCTGCGGCCGGGAGAGTGGCACGTGGGCTTGTTGGAGACGACTTCTGGTGCACGGCTGGGTTTGTCAAGATTCGTGGCAAGCACCAGGGCCCGTCATATGACGTATTGATCTCTTCCAGGGCGGACTCGACCGCCGCTTGGGTCATCAACTCAGCCACTTGCGCCGAGGGCGACGCGGTCGGCGGCTCGGATCCGCCCGCTTTCCTGGGCTCCGGGGTTGGGAAGGGACATGCCGGGGGCAATGCCGAGACTAGCCTGCGGAGCTTGGTTGGAGGGTCACCATTCCCGGGAGTCAGCTGACTTGAAGGGACTTGGGCTTCCTCAATTGACCGTGGGAGGTCGAGTAAAACCACTGTCTTGCGGTCGTTTTGCCAGAGGATACTGGATGGGCTTGTTGATTGGGCCATCTGGGTCGGGCCTGTTTCGATCTGGAACGACCCGCCTGGTGCGGAATGGCACAGAATCTGGGGACAGGAACAAGCATGCCAAGGGACTGGTTGACGGGAGAAAATATGGATCCCGAGGAGTCGCGTGCCTTGGTTGGCCGCTTTTTTCCTTCAAGGCCAAAGCTTGGCAGACACTTTCCGTGTGAGTGATAATATGAAAAGGGAGGAAAGAAATAAGAAATAAAAATATGAGAAAAAAGGGGTCTTTATATGAACAAGGATGAAGAACAGAAACACCGACGGAATATAGATTTTAAACACCAAAAAAGAATCAAAATAATACATCCACATGCGACAAAGCGGTGCGGGTGGTTTGTTGGCAGCAGTTCGCGGCGCCCCGGCCCTGCAGGAGTCAGCCGGGCAATCGGTAATCCTCGGCTTGTGGAGGCGGGGACCGGGCGACCGCTAAAAGCTCGCTTTCGAGCGGCCAGAAATGACGTTTCGGGGTTGCGCTTCCGGAATTTTAACTCTCTTATCTCCATCTCTTTCGCAACCTGCGCCGGCGATTTTCACGCATTCTACGACGACAACGACCTGAACGATCCATTCAGCTCTTTAACTTCTGTTTCCCAAGATCGACAAGATCGACAGACCGACTTCATCCCTGCGTGATGCGCCCGTAGCGCGCCGGTCCAACCGATTCGGCTCGTCTGAACATCCCTCACTCCCAACGGCGGATCACAGGCCTCCCGGAGAGGGAACCCCCCCGGCTCTCATGAGTGCCCATGCCTCCATGCCGGGGGTCCTGCCCTCACACCGACCAAAAGATGCCGCTGGTGCTCACCGGACACCGGTAGCCTCGAGGAAGGAGCCCGCCGTCTGCCCGACGGACGACGAGGCGCAAGTCCCGCGCAAGACGGCCAAGGATAAGCGAAGCTTCGACTATGTCTGGAGGTCCGGAATTGCAGGCGGCATGGCGGGTTGCGCGGTAGGTGGTCTCGCCTGCTAGTCGCATTGTTCTGTTCGAGTTACTGACATTTGTGTGTAGGCTAAGACGATTGTCGCGCCGCTCGACCGAGTCAAGATCCTATTTCAGTCTCGCAACCCACACTTTGTCAAATATACGGGGTCATGGTATGGGGTTGGGCAGGCCATGAAGGATATTTATCTCCAAGACGGGTCGGTCGGGTTATTCAGAGGCCACTCGGCTACCCTGTTGAGGATATTTCCCTACGCGGCGATCAAGTTTGTGGCCTACGAACAGATCCGCGCCGTTGTCATTCCCCGGAAGGAGAAAGAGACGCCGTTCCGGCGGCTCATCAGCGGTGCCATGGCGGGCGTGACATCCGTCTTCTTCACCTACCCCCTAGAGGTCGTCCGAGTACGGCTTGCGTTCGAAACAAAAAAGGAGGGCCGGTCATCACTACGGTCAATATGCAAGCAAATATACCACGAAGGGCAATTACGGAAATCAGCAGCATCCGCAGCTGATTCGGCCGGTGCGGTTGTTTCGACAGTTCGGAGTGCGGCAGCACCGGCAGTTGCACAGGCATCCGGGTTCATAAACTTCTACCGTGGCTTCTCCCCAACGCTCCTGGGCATGGTCCCGTACGCCGGCATGTCTTTCCTCACACACGATACTGCGGGCGACTTACTCCGCCTCCCGGCGATCGCTCAGTACACGACACTGCCCAAGCCGGAAAACCACCCGGCGGGCAAGCCTGCGCCGCTCCGGTACTGGGCCGAGCTGCTCGCGGGCGGCGTTGCGGGGATGGTATCGCAGACGGTGTCGTACCCGCTCGAGGTGGTCAGGAGACGGATGCAGGTCGGCGGTGCGGTCGGCGACGGCCACCGGATGCGCATCGGCGAGACGGCCAGGCTGATCATGCGGGAGCGCGGCTTCCGGGGCTTTTTTGTGGGGTTGACGATTGGTTATGCCAAAGTGATACCCATGGCGGCGGCGGCTTTCTACACGTATGAACGGCTAAAGATGGTGTTTGGCATTTAGATTACAGGTTTTCTTTTTTGTTTATTTTCCCGAAGCACATGAGCGGCGTTTGGGTGGTTATTGTATCACTTGGTTCTAGCATCATTCGAGACAATAGATCCTCTATCCAGAGTCAGGTTGCCGTCGGCCATCTTGTTGTGATAGGAAGCTGCGGGGCATTGTTGATGTGATGTGCTTGGAATTGCCATTGCGGAAGCTGGGGAGTGTCTTCGGAAAGTGGTGGCCGCCACGTTTGACAGCAATGAGGGGGCTACCTGCCTTGGCACAAGGCGTGGTTTCTTAGTCGGCGTTCTATGGAAAGCGTACCGCCCGCGCTTTCGAATAAAGGCGCGGGAAATATACGACAACTGCGACACACAACCCGCAGCAAGGGAATGGCTCGATCTTACCCAGTCGCTCACAATATGTACATCCCATGGAAAACAAAAGAACACCCACCACATTTCACGACAACAGCGAACGCCACCGTAGGGTATTAGCACAACCACCGGACTCTCATCACCAACAAGCAAATCACTCTAAACTAAGCACATCCCAAACACTCTACTCACCATGGGAACAACGAACAACTCCTGGGCCCCCAAACCCAAACCCGAGGAAGACGAAGCCTCGCCCAGCACTCCCGACACAACGACGACGACCGCCACCACAACCACCCCCAGCACCACGACCCCAGCCAACGCCCTCCCACCACCCGTCCCGCAAAAACACCACCACCAAGCGATCGCCGACCCCCTCGCGCACTTCCTCGCCATCCCGTGGACAGCGCGCCTGCTCACCGACCCCGCGGCGTTCGGCATCGTGGTCTCGGACCGGCGGCCGCTGGCGTCGGGCGACAAGCAGTTTGTGCGGAGCGTCCTGAGCAGCCCGACGACGGTGCGCGCGTGCGTGACCTTTTTTTTGCGGCTGCCGCTGGTGCAAGGGGTGGCGGCGCAGGGGGTGGTGCCGGTGTCGAAGAGCAGGGCGCTGTTGCAGGGGTGGGGGTCCGCGCGACGGGGAGGACCCTGAGAGGCCGTTTTTGCTGTTCAATGTGTTGTTGGATTTGGGCGAGGATTTGTGTGGGCATAAGGGGACGATGCATGGTGGTGCGTTGGGGGTGCTGCTGGATGAGACGATGTGTGCTGCGGCGGATAACCAGACTCGTGGGTTCTTCCTCTTTCCTTCTCCCCCTCTTGTTGGATCGGATGATGCAGGGTCGTTAACTTGGCGGGGATGTGAACAGAGTACGCATTTACGGCGACCATGCACATCAGCTTCTTGAGGCCTGTTAAGGTACCCGGGCCGGTGATTGTTAGATCGAGAGTTATTCGGAGGGAAAGGCGCAAGATTTATGTTCGGGGGACGATTGAGGATGGCGAGGGTGAGTTCAGTCGATTTCAGCACGTGAGTTGGCAAAAAATGGCTAATGGATAAGTAGGAAACATCATGACGGAGGGTGAGGCAATGGTGGTAGACAAGACACCAAGCAAGACAGTCAAGCTATAAAGATCAAGAAGGGGGCTATAATTGAGGTAGTCGAATCGATTGAAGATGCCGAGGATGCGAGCATCCAAGGTCAGTCAGTATATGGTAGCGTTTCGGTGCAATCAGTACCTTTACCCAGGGTAATACATGAGGTATTTATAAGACGTTTTATTCTTTGTTACCTCATGTCGAGAATTTGAACTCCTAGGTAGAAAGAGAATAAGGAGTTAAGAGAGGAAAGAGAAGAGAGAGACGAGGTTAGGAAATGCTGCAAAAGATCGGGTTCCTGGTCTGTGATTGGCTTGGCTTGTTGACTGCCCCACTCTAATACCAACCCCTGGCGGTCGGTGAATCAACAGCGCGCCAAGTTCTATTGCTGTTGAGTGAGACGCGCCTTCACCATTGAAATTGAAATCCGCAAAATCACCTTTTCATCCATTCATTCATCACTAAACCACGGTCATTCCGGAAATATTCCATCCTGTTCTCTTATAAAATAAGAAGCCATGGTTGGCCGGACAAACGTCCCTGCGACTAGGAAACGGACGAGGCAGCAGAACGAAGAGGAGCCTTCATCAACAGCAAAGAAACGCCGAACAAAGGCATCAGAAAAGTCGCCCGCTGATGAGCCTGGCGACGATCAGAAGGCTGAACCAGCGCCGACCGCGAAAGAGACTTTAAGACGTGGCCGCAGTCTGAGAACCACTCAAGCCAAGGACTCACCAGCGAACAGCCCGCCGGAGCCGCCAAAACCGCCAAAGCAGGCAGCCCGGAATACCAAGGGCAAGGCCCAACCGAAAAAAGGGCAGGCTCAAGAGGCTGGTCAGAAAACTAACGTCTACGATGTTCCGGACTCGGGCGAAGATGAGCTCGCCACCGCACCCGTGGCACCGCGCTCGAGGCGCCAAAAGCCAAGCGTCGCGGTAACTGTAGCAGATGGAGCCAAATCTGTTTTGGCCGCGAAGGAAGAGGAACCAGAAAAGAAAAAACGCGGCCGACCCAGCAAGCGGGATCGCGAGGCGAAGGGCGAGGAGCAGGACGAGACCCCTGCAGCTGTAGCAGTTCCGGCAAGTGAAAAGCCAGCTCCGCGATCGCGCCGCCCAGCGGGTCGTGATACGCAATCGTTTGATTCAGGTCAAGAAGGAGACCACGGACTCGGCGGCGGAAAGGAGAAGATTCAACCAAAGAATGCGGCAAAGGGAAAGTTGGGAGGGGGCGTCGTACTACCAAAAGGTATCTTGACGCCTCAGAAGGGGAAACGCGGCGTTCAGCGGCTACAGAAAACCGTGGCTTTTGACAGCCGGGCTAGTGAAGACGTTTTGGACAGTTTAACCGCTGCGTCACCGTCCAAGTCTGCCAGAAAACGCCGCGAGGCGGCAGAGGCGGTGGACGAAATGCAGGTCGGCAGCCAGCAGCACGGCGAGGAGGATCCTTCGGGGGAAGAATCCGAGGAAGAGGACGATGAGGTCTGCGCCATCTGCTCCAAGCCAGACTCCAAAGCGCCCAACGAGATCGTATTTTGCGATAACTGCGACATGCCTGTGCATCAACAATGCTACGGGCTTGCCGAAGTTCCCGAGGGCGACTGGATCTGCCGCAGCTGCTCGCAGGACGACGCGACCTCTGCCAATCTCGGCGGAGCTAATCATACAAAGTCATCCGTGGTTGCACGGGAGGAACAGCATCCGGACATTCCGAACTTTGACCAACACCTCCGATTGGCGCAGCGGGTGTTGCTGGATCGCTGTGCCGGCAGGCGCCGGATCAAGCTCCGAGGGCAGGGCGAAGCTTACGAGAAGGCCTACCAGCTTGTGGAACAGACCGTTGTAGCAGGCGAGGGCAACTCCATGATGGTGATCGGGGCTCGGGGATGTGGCAAGACTACCGTATGTTGTGCGGTTAACCTTTGTAAGAGTTTTCAAGCTAACGAGTGGCACAGCTGGTTGAATCCATCATCGAGGATCTGTCAAAGCAGTATGAAAATCAGTTCCACGTTGTCCGGCTGAGTGGCTTCATCCATACCGACGACAAGCTGGCTCTAAGGGAGATATGGCGGCAGCTTGGCAAAGAGATGGAGGTTGAGGACGAGCTCGTGAACAAGGTAAGCCGCCTGGCTCCTAACACATCGGCTGTGTTGCTGACCAAGGCAGACTACTAATTATGCGGACACCATGGCTTCGCTTCTCGCACTTTTATCGCATCCTTCCGAGATAGCAGAAACCCAGGACGGTATGACGTCTAGGTCCATCGTCTTCGTGATCGACGAGTTCGACCTCTTTGCGACGCACGCGAGGCAAACCCTTCTCTATAACCTCTTTGATATTGCGCAGGCCCGCAAGGCGCCGATCGCTGTGCTAGGGCTGACAACCAGAATTGATGTGGTCGAAAGCCTCGAGAAGCGAGTGAAGAGCCGGTTTAGTCACCGATATGTCTACCTTTCACTGCCGAAAAGCCTCCCAGCATACTGGGACATCTGCAGGCAGGGGCTAAGTATCGATGAAGAGGAAATGGTCCAGGAGGGCATCGACCCAAAACTAGAGGGTCACGACGCCTTCTGGGGCTGGTGGAATGGGAAAGTCGATGTAAGCCCGTCGTCGACTCAGCGCCTCGTTCCCATCTCGGTTTGCTGACCTATGGTAGTCAATCTACAAAACGCAGGGGTTCACAGATCACCTAGAATCGCACTTTTTCGGCACGAAGTCGGTCTCTGCGTTTTTGACAACATGCATCCTGCCGCTCGCAGCACTTTCTCCCGCGGCCCCTTCGTTGCATATACCTACCATGGCAGGGGTTGCTCCATCGCTCGAGCCGCCGGACTCCAAGCTACACCTCCTCGGATCCCTTTCCGACCTGGATCTGTCGATGCTCATCGCGGCGGCGCGGCTGGATATTGTGGCGCACACCGACACGGTCAACTTCGCCATGGCCTATGATGAGTACACGTCGCTCATGGGCAGGCAACGAGTTCAGACGGCGAGCTCGGGCATGCTGGCCCTGGGAGGCGGAGCACGGGTGTGGGGCCGCGGCACCGCAGGAATCGCGTGGGAGCGTCTCGTTGCACTCGGCCTGCTCGTTCCGGCGGCGGCGGGGGGCAGGGGAACGGCCGGGCTCGGTGGGCTGGACGCCAAGATGTGGAAAGTGGATGTTGCGCTTGAGGAGATTCCGCCGGCGGTGAAGCTCAACGCGGTTTTGGCCCGTTGGTGTAGGGAAATTTGATCGGCCCGGTCTAGCATGGGTGGCCCGGGCAACTGAATCCAACATGACCGACAACAAACGAACGAGCCAACGGGATCCGGCCATCTGGCAGGAGGATGCGAGTCCTCGTCCTGGTCTCCCTGTCGCCTTGTACGATTCCAAATTTGCGGCGCGGCTGCCTACGATGATGAAGTGGGACGGCCGATCTTTTAAAAAGCTTCGGTATTAGTGGATATGCGACCGTTCTGGTCGGCCCCCAATCACACGTCTTTCGCCTTTAGCCTTGGATCCTGATGCACTCAAGTTGGTTGGTGGTGCTGACTCGCAGCAAAACGCGTGACGCGGGAGACGGGATACCAGGATCCCGTGGTTCAGGGGTGCTATTTTCGGTTGCACCGCCCACCTTGACCGCCCGACTGGTTGGCATTCCCACGTGGTCAGGTCACATCGTGGGAGCAACAACCAAAGACATGCAGGGAGTGCGCCACAGCTAACAATAACCGGGGTGCAGGACTGGGCGCATGCGGTTGAGCCGCTGGGCACTGCTGTGTTCCCAGGACCACAACAAAAACAATTGGATTACTGTCGGGTTGCAGGTATACATACAGCCTTGGCCTCGTAGAAAAGGGTCTCACTTGTTTTTTAGACTGGTTTTGGTCATCTTATGTTTGTTTTGTGTTATGATCATTGGCTTCCCTCACGACTATTTCCAATACTCGGGAGGCTACCTAGCTTGGCCGACGAATACATTAATCCCGATCCTTCACTACACAGACCGAGCCATGTCAAAACGAACCGCCTTCACTACCGTGACGCCCCTTCCGGCGGGCATCACGCGCCAGAGCGTCCTCGAATTCCTCCACGATTACGAAGAGATGATAGACTTGAACCCCTTGGTCAAAGAGCGCCACCCGATCCCGCCTCCATCAAACGCCTCAGCAGACGAACAGCGCTGCCAGTGGTACTCTCTGACCGACAAGATCTCATACTTCCCCGGAGTGAGGGGCGATGTCACTTACACATGCGCCTTCAATGATTTGCCAAATGGTCTTCAGACCCACTGCTATGCACCAGCCGGACTGAGTGCGTTTTATGCCCCCTTCCATTTCTAGTTGCATAGAGGGCGGTAACTGATTATTACCTAGCAATCCGCGATAAATGGACTGTCGGCGGTTCTCTCCCTGGGGAACCCCCACAACCTGTCGAGATAGGCCTTAAGGCGCCCTCATCAGGACTCTATCTCCGTGAAGATGTTGATATGCGGTGCAATCTAATCATGACGAGCTTTGTGAAGAAGACGCTTAAAAAGGCACACGCCGCTCTGGTTGACAGGCTGGCGTTCAAAGCCGAGATGGCGATTACCTGCGGGAAGAAGAGGAGTGATTCGGGCAGCAGAAGCGCCGTCGTCTCTCCCGTTCCAAGCATGATGTCGAGCATGGGCAGCACCGCGCCGAGTAGCATCAGCAGCATCAGCAACCAATACCCCCATCTAGCCGAATCCATCCCGACCAGCCGGCCCCCCTCCGTCGCATCCTCTGTGTCCTGCTACAGCGTCCAGAGCAGCCCGACGTGGCCACTAGCAACAAGCAGCCTCGGTACAAGCCCCGCGCTGTCCATCTCCAGTCCCCCGTCAACAGACTGCGGTAATTCCCAGGCACAACAATCCGCGGCGCACCTGCCACCGCCATCACGAGCACCACCGCCACCCCCAACATCCATCCCCGAGCTAAGCTTCGAGCCGATATCCATCACTCTCTCGGAAGCGCCCGCCCCCGCAGACCCCGACACCCCCTTCCTCCGCAACGCCAAACCCGCCACCACATCCACCGAACCCGCCGTGCCCGTGCACACCCCCGAGCCCGAAACCCCCTTCCTGCGCAACGCCAAACCCGTCCTCCCCGAACTCCCCGAACTTCCCGCGCGCCCCCTCGAGCCCGAAACACCCTTCCTCCGCAACGCCAAACCCAACTGGCCGCTCGCCAACAACTGGCCCCTCCCCTCGCAGTCGTCCACAGCACCATCCCAACAGCAACAATGTCAACAACAACAACAACCCCGGCCCCGGCCCCGACCCCAAACCCACCTCTTCATCCAGCCCTACCGCCCGCCACAACCGCCCGCGGCAGCAGCTGGGAACGGCAGCAGGGTATCGCCGTCTGGCGACGGGCTGTCGGATGACGCGCTGTGGCAGGCGCTGGGCGGGGGACGGGTGGGGGTGGCGAAGGGGATGGATGCGGCGGGTGCGGGTGCGGGTGGAGTTGTCCAGGGTCAGGGTCAGGGTCAGGGTCAGAGTGCGAGCCATCACTACTACCACCGTCCGCAGTACCAGCAGCATGGCCGGGCGTGGAGCTATGGGGGGATGGTGCCGCGGTATGGGGCGGGGTATGGGTATGGGAACGGGAACGGGAATGGGAATGGAGTTGGGGTTGGCTCTATGTCTGGGGCTGGGGCTGGGGCTGGGTATGGGCAGGTGTATAGTTCAGGGCATCCGGATTATCCGCAGCTGAGTCCATATGATGGTTCTGGGTGTGGGTGTGGCTGCGGCTCCCGCTCCCGCTCCCACTGCGAATGGGGCGGTGAGGCGCGTGAGCATGCCGCCTCCTACGCGGGTGCCGGCGCGAGTGCCGGTGCCTGGGACGAGCAGCCACTAGGCGATGTTGGATGGGCCGCTTGTTGCCGAGTTGAGCTGAGGGGCCATCGCTGGCTTTGGGAGAAGGCCCTGTTTGGGATTGTGCTGTGTTCTTTATTGCGTTCATGGGCGGCTAGATTGTTTTGGGAAAGCAGAGTAGCGTTCGATACCCGGATTATGTAAAAGTTGTAGTGTTTCAAGTCTGATCAATGGAGTTCTACCTTCACTTCATCACCTTCCCTGCGCTCTTCGTCCCTTTTTTGGTAGCACTCCCGGCCCTCTTTGCAATCCCCAGGCACCTCCTGACGCCGTCTAGCATACACAGCCATGCCTCGAGCGGCGGCATATGTCGGGTCAACGACGGCAGTGGCGTTTATGCTCAATGGTGGCACCAGTCCCTCTCCCGGGTACAACTCGGCCAACGCATCCCGCACTGTTTCGAGGAGGACCGGGTGTGTCCCGTTCTCGCCCCCCAACAGCACCATCCCAGGCGGCCGTTTCCCTACGTCGCTAGCCCCCGCCAGCCCGACAATGAGCGATCGGACGTAGGCCCAGTAGTCGGACTCGGAGGCGAACCCGTCCTGCGCGTCCAGACCGGCGCGAAAGTCCACAACCCTCGGACCTTCAGGTCTCCAGCGGGGGTAAGCGTCCCTCATCGCCTCTAAGGATGCATACAAGGCGTGCCCCGTAAGCGAGACAAACAGCACGCGATGCCACAGCAGATTGGAGTTCTCAAACCAACACTCGAAAAGGTCGGCGTAGGACGCGCAAAGCCCGTGGCCGTTCCCCGCAAAGGCGGCCCGGGACTGGATGGCGTAACTCGGCTGGTAGCTCCTGGCCTTCTTTTCGCCTAGGGCAAACCAGCTGCGCAGGCCGGCGTGGGATAGGGCATTGGCCAGGTCCAGGGGCGTCAGCGCGGGGATGGACGGGTGCGTGATGGCGATGAGGTCTACCGCGGGGTGTGCTGGGCCGAGCGTCTTGATGGTGGCCGACTTGAGGTCTGTGAGCAGCGAGGCCAACACGGCCACGTCGGGAGTCGCGGGCCGGCCGCGTTGCTGGTTCCACCAGCGCTGCCACCTGGCTAGACGGCCTGGAGGTCCAGGGATGGGGGCGTTGCCGAGGCGCACCATCAGTTCTTTGTACTAGGGAGTGGCCGGGACCTTGGCCATGTCGAGCACGGTTCCATTGTAGAAGTGCGCGACCGCAGTACTGCTTCGGTCAGCGATGGCTAGGGAAATATGCCACAGATGAACTTTACCCGTAGCTTGTTGTCAGATCGAAACCGATGCCCGGGGCATCGTGAACTGATGCGGGAACGCAGAGCTTGTACCAGGGAGTCGGGCAGTCTCCGTGGAAAGCTGACAAGACCGGGAGTAGCAAGATAAACAGGGGGAGGACTCGGAGGAGGAATCTCGCGGGCGTGTACATGGCGTTAAAGGGCTAAAGGCTCGACTGTGTGCGAAAATTCAACGTTGGGAGAATATTGGGAAGTCGAATGGACTTTGTTTCTGACGCCAAAGTCCAACGTTCCCAAGTTCTGTTGCAAAGTGCGGAACAGAGTTTCGGTGGGCGGTTGGTGACAGACACAGTACATCTAGCAGACGAAGCACAAAATGCAGTGTATGACTCGGACCTTATCCATATCGACACCAACGCGTCTATTTGAGTGGGAAACAAATTCCATCCATCCATCCATCCATCCATGTCCATTCGAGCACCATCAACCAACAAGCCGAACTAGAACTATTTTGATTCTGCGAGGGGGTACTGCGCCAGGATCCTTGATCACGCTTAACCATCAGAGCGCTATTATTTTCAATATTGCGACCCTCGATGAGAACTTTCCTCGCATTGATCCGGCCCTACCTACATCACCTTATGCTGTTGGGCCAGCAGACGGGAGTTCCACCTTGCGGTTTCTGAGTCTCCATGCCTTCACGCCACGGACTCGCCGCAACCCGGCAATTTCCCTCGCATTCATCTTTTTTTACCCTACGCTGTTGGTTCAGGCCTGCAGTGGTTCGCGTGCCGCGTGCGCCATTCCAATATCGCAGCCCCGTCCATGCCCGCGCGTTCTAGGACCGAGATGGTTGAGCGGAATCCCGGAGGTCGTCCCCGGCACCATTCGCAAACGAAACCATGTTCGTTGAAAATGAGGGATGAATGGTTGGGACTAGATTGGACGGAGCATGAAATCAGTCGTGGGTGTGCTGGAGATGTTTGGTATAAGAAGGGCCTGCTTCATCCGAGGAAAAGCAGCTTGTGCCCTCTCGTTTCATACAGCTCATCGCACAAAGCCAAACAACAGCATGGGAAACACCTGTAGCACCACCACCGTTGTGGTTGGGGACAGCTGTGGTTCTTTAGCCAGCAGGTGCGGAGTTTCAGCTGCCGACTTCTACCAGTACAACCCCAGTTCAACATTGTGCTCAACACTTGCCGTCGGTCAAAAGGTCTGCTGCACAGCTGGCGGGCTTCCCGTCCCTTCCCAGAATGAGGATGGCTCCTGTGCCTCATATACGGCCATTTATGGGGATACGTGTTCTGTGATTGCCCTGAGCAACAGCATCACGGCTGCTAACATAGAAGCGTGGAATACACAAACCTGGGGTTGGGCAGGCTGTCCCTCCCTCCAGAGTGGCCAGACCATCTGCATCAGCATTGGGACGCCGCCCATGCCTGCTGCCGTAACTGGTGCCGAGTGCGGTCCCCAGGCCCCGGGAACGGCCAAACCCTCCTCAGGAACCGACATCTCGACGCTGAATCCGTGCCCACTCAACGCTTGTTGCGACATGTACGTCGCCATAACTCTTTGGGTCGAGTCCATGCTAACTCGTGACAGCTGGGGCCAGTGCGGTACCACGGCTGACTACTGTATCGACACAGGCACGGGAGCCCCAGGAACGGCAGCGCCGGGAAGCAATGGATGCATTTCTAACTGTGGTACCGACATCATCCTCGGGGCTCGGCCGGCACAATTCCATCGTATCGCCTACTTTGAAGCCTTCAACTTCGACTGGGCGTGTCTCCGAATGGATGTCGCGCAGATCGACACTTCGAAATACACCCATGTTCACTTTGCCTTTCTTGATCTGACTGAGGATTTTGATGTCGACGTCGTCCGATACAGGGAGCAATTCATTCGTTTCACCAAGTTAAAGGGAGTCAAACGAATTGTGAGTAGCCGCTTCCCTCTTGCCACCAGCACGAAAAGAACGAGGTGGAGAATGCGTCGTCATGCTTTAGGACCATGTTTGCGGCCGAGTCTTGCTAATCTACCATTTCTCTTGATCAGGTTTCCTTTGGGGGTTGGACCATGAGCACCAGCCTCGCCACGTACAACATTTTCCGCGACGCGGTCAAGCCCGAGAATAGGCAGACCTTTGCGAGAAACCTAGCCGATTTTGCCAATGAATGGCACTTGGACGGTATCGACATTGATTGGGAGTACCCTGGTGCACAAGTCCTCCCCGAAATCCCGAAGGGCAGTCTCGACGATGGCAAAAACCTCGCCTCGTGCTTGGTGCTCCTCAGGGACCTCCTCGGCCCCGACCAATCCCTGTCCATCGCGACACCGGCGTCGTACTGGTACCTCAAGGGCTTCCCCATCGCCAAAATGTCGGCCGCTCTGGATTATATCGTTTATATGACTTACGACCTCCATGGCCAGTGGGATTTCGGGAGCCGGTGGGCAGATCCGGGCTGCCCCGATGGGAACTGTCTCCGCTCACACGTCAACCTGACCGAGACTTTGAACGCTCTTTCCATGATTACCAAGGCAGGCGTTCCCAGCAACAAGATCGCCGTGGGAATCAGCAGCTATGGCCGTTCGTTCCAGATGACCACCCCGGGCTGCACAGGGCCCATGTGCACCTACACCGGCCCAGCCTCGGGAGCGAAGCCCGGGCGGTGCACGAACACGGCGGGCTACCTAGCCAATGCCGAAATCAACGAGATCATTGCCCGGAAGAGCAACGTGCAGACCTTCCACGACGCATCCAGTGACAGCGATATCCTGGTATACGATACGGTGCACTGGGTGGCCTACATGGACAATGTCACCAAGGCAGACCGCATCGCCCGCTACCAGCGCCTCAACATGTGGGGCGTGAGTGACTGGGCCGTGGATCTCGAAGCCTTTGTAGCGCCGCCGACACCCACCGTTCCAAGCCGGCCAAGTTCACCTGCCCAATCCGGCGCTTTCAAGAACCCTTTCGCCATCAATGGTGCCATAAACCCATACCTCAAAGGCTGCACCGACGCACAGGCCAAGATGATATGGGAAGCCTGGCATGAAGCAGCGGACTTGGCTGCGGCTCATTATGAGTGGTGGCCTGGTTCGACCTGGCAGGATGCAATGTCGCTGTACCTCGGGCGAAACTCCAAGAATGACTAGTATGTGGGTTTTCTTGACTTTGTTCCACTTCTTTCGGCGAGCGGGGAGGGCGGATTACGCTAACCAACCCAACCTTGGGTGATAGTTAGTTCCTTCTTCAGGGAAAAAGGTCCATTGTAAGGTAAGTAAATCTTTACTCCTTGACATTTTCCGTCACATCTAACCAAAACCTGCCAGAAAACATCGAACGTCAATATCTCATGCATTGGGGCTGGCAGTTGCAACCGCCAAACCATGCATACGTCTACTTTTATTGCAACGAGGAGGACGTCCCTTTCAAAAATACGGACCCGGCCTGGAAACCTCATTGCACTAACGACCAAGGCGAACCCACGGACTGGACGGCATACTCTTGGAATGACATAGGCTGGTTCTTCTATTCCCACTACACGGTCTTTTGCCCAGAATTCTTCAGGGCCGCCCTCACATCGCTGGCCGACCAAGTCGAGACAGCCAATGGTGACATTTATATGCAGACGACCATTGACTATTGGCGGCCGATCCGTGCCCGCAGCCTTTTCCACGAGAGCTACCACTGGGAATATACCGTGTCGGACCCCCTCACTTGGGATGAAACCTACCAACCCTTGGAAATTGTCAAGCTTGCATGCGACAACGAGGTAAGTATCTGGTTAATCATGTCAAGCCTCACTCCCCAGTTTTCGTTTCTGACCCTGAGCGTCCAAATTCGGGAAGAGGCAGCACAGAACGCCGAGAACTGGGCTCTTTGCGCCATGGCTATTTACCTACAGAAGACCTTCCACCTTGACAGTTCCCCCGTTCCCGCAGCCTCGTCGGCCAACATCCAAGGTTCCAGACTACACGAGGGGCGCTTGGCCGCTCCACCAGCTGCATGGAACCGGCCGGTGCCCTTTAACAGTTCTACATTCAACCCCGACATCAACGGCGTGATCATGTTGCAGAAGGTGGGGTCACTGACGTCGGGCCCTGGAAAGTGAGTGGCCTTTTCAATTTTTCAAGCTCTTTTCGCCTCCCTCTTGCGGGACAAATCACTGACAAGTCTTACTTTTTTTTTTCTTTTTGGTAGGCCATGTACCGAGGGCTTGTGACAATCCGAAGAATCTTGCAGGACGTCTGCCAACTGCGCGAAAAGCAGCACCAACGCTAGCTGGGTCTGCAGCGACTGCACCCCCTCAAACCACGTCTGTGTAGGCGGCTCGTACCCGTAGGGGGTCGGATGTTGGGCTTGAGTTAACGGGGGGTTGTGGAGGGGGGTGAAAGCGAGTAGATGGTTTGTAATGCCCCGGAGAGGGCGCATTGCTAGTAGAAACTAAGTATTCTTTTCTAAGGGAACAGCAGTTTATACTAGAGCTTGGTAGCAGACGGGGTAGCAAGGTAGAAAGTAGGATCATGCAGTACCTATTTGTACATGAACACAAATGCGGTTAACGTGGTTGTGATTATGTAGAAACTCGAGTGTGGAGAGCAAGAGATTCCGGGGACGATTCTATTATTGACCCGAGTGCTAAGCGATATGGCTATGCATGCGGGAGTTGCTTTGCATTATTCCCACCCCACAAAGGCCCCACTTATGTAGAAACCACGATCCCGAATCTTTAAGTCGGTATGGTCGGTCGTATGGAGTTGTCGGGGACGGTTAGGGGAGTTGTCGGGGACGGTTAGGTCGTTTATATTCAGGGCACCAATAAGTCCTCAGCCATAGAATTCGTATTCCTCTTCAACACCACACGTTATTCATTTCCCTTCAACTCGCGGTACCTCTCAACTCCAGTGCAACACAAAACAGATATAGCCCAACTAGCATATTAACCAACACGCAATCCTAACCCCAGCAAACCAAAGAGCCACAAAACAAACCAACCCCCAAAAATCCCTCCCCCATCATCCATCACCACTTCCTCACGTATACCCCCCCTCACAACAAGAACACCGCACCAACAACCCCCAGCCCTATCCCCGCGACAACAACTCCATCCCAAACAGCAGCAGCAGCAGCACGAACACCAGCGCCAGCACCCGAGACATAAACAAACGGAGCCGGCCTCACCCCGCCCGTCGGGACGACCAAAACACCCGACCCACTCGGCGCCGGGCGCACCCCAGACGCAGCGACGGCTGGGGCGGCGGTAGGGTCTGGAGAGATTGAGGGGGTTGTTAGTATGGAGGGAGGATGGAGGGTGGATGATGAGGCGGGCTGGGTTGGTGGTGCAGAATGTAAAGGGGGTTGGGGATAGATAGAGATGAGGGGGGAGGCGCGGGGGGGGGGGGGGAGGGTGGGCTCACGCTGGGGTCTTTAGCAACGGCGTTGTTGACACTGGCGCCGCAACCGGTGTGGTCCGCGTGGGCTGCTGGCTTGTTCTGGTAGGTGATAATTGAAACAATTAAACTGTCTGTTTCCTGGGGTTTTGGGTACAGCCTAACCGTGGTAGACGTACGTTGGATATGGTCAAGGTGGGGTTCACCCCCGTGTTGTTGGCGCGGCCCACGTGATGGCGGTAATGGCCCTGAACGGTAAGTTGTTGAAGCTGTTGGTGGCCCTGGTGGGCTGTAAAGGCCGTAACCCCCCCGGACGCCGCCCGGAGGAAGAAGACCTTGGTGATGGGCTGCATTGTCCAGACAAACTATACTGGTATGTAATTGTGTTGTCTGTGTGTTTGCTGTGTGCTGGCGTGGTTGGAACAAGACGCTTAAAAGGTACGCTGGGCTATTAAGGGGTGGGAACACCATACTTTGAGGGCCTTAAAGAGTGGAAATCTGCTGGAGACAGAAGTGAGTGAGAAAGAAGAGCCAAGAGTACTCGGGTGGGTTCCTGGGTGGCAGCTCAGGGGCGCTCCCGTTTTATGCCATCTTCAACCGCCCTCTGGTATTCTCGCCAGTTGTAAACAAGATTCCCATTGCTCAGCCTATCCAAGGCGCTGCCAGAATACCATACCTGAGCCGCCTCATCGCCTAAACAACCCGCAACATCCCAAAAAATGCTTGGCTGGGCATGGCAGACCGCATTCCAACAATCGCCCCGATAACCAGCCCCTGTCTCACTCTTCCAAGGCATGTCAAGTCACCACATTCCCCAAGTCGTCACAGGTCGTTGTTGACACCGGTCAACTGATCCAATCGGGTGGTATTGTGTCTTTCGTCATTCGTGCGGACGCGGATCTCATGGGATCATCATAAACCAACATCACACACGCGCTCATTTTGATCCATATCCTCGCCTTGAGCCCTGCCCATACAACACCGCCGGCAGCCAACGCCCCATCCATGCTTTTGAAGTAGCTCCAAACCTGTTTGGGGCTTCCTTCCATCCCCGGTTCCCTCTCACGCCTCGCAGAACGCCTCTCCCCCCATCCTTCAATGGCGTGAAGGGCCCCCTCGGCCCACCAACATGACAAGAGTTGGGAAATGTTTACCAGGTGTATGCCAAATGATCTGCTCTCCCATCTATGCCATCACCACCCCCCACACCGTTAACGCCGGTATATCAACGACTCATCAAACAAAACATAGCAAAACAGGCAGAAAAAAAAATTAAAACTAAAACAAGGGGGATATAACGCAGGCGAGGTGAGCAGCTAAGCCCATCCTCATGCAAACCAAGCCAAAACAGCGCATACGCGCCGGTCCCGACGACGACGACAACAACGACGACGGCACACGTTAGACCAAGAAAGAAAAAAAAAAAGCAACGCAGTAGCGCCAGCGTTTCTAAAATCAAGGCGGGAAAAGGTACCAAGCACCAAATCAAGACGCAGCGCGGCGCCTGAGCGGCTGCGCAGCAGGGCCGACGTCCTGGGAGGGGCGGGTCGACCGCAGCCGCCTCAGCGAGGGCATCCGGGCCAGTCAATTGCGGTTCGACCGGCTCTGGCTGCGCTCTGGCACGCGCGGCTGGGAGTGGCTGCCGGTGACTGCGTCGAAGTCGTAATTCTTGAGCGTCTGCTCGTACTTGGGGCTGCGCAGGAACTTGGGCACCGAATCCTGCTTGTGTGTTAGCGCTTGGTTCTTCTTCTTCTCCTCCCGATGATCCGCGAGCAGGTAGTACTTACGCTAGCCATCAGCTTGAAGACGGCGTTCTGGGCATCCTCGAATAGAGCCGTGACCTCATGAAGGGTGTCGATCATGGCAACGTCCTGCCCCACCGCCTTCGTCATGCGGGTCGCCAGGTTGTTTCGCAGCTGGTGGTCGATGTTCAGCTCGCAGGGCGACCCGGGGGCCAAGAAGGCGTTGTAGATGCCGTACGCCTGGGCCATGATCTCCTTGATCCCGTCCAACGACGCGGCATTGTTGGGGCTCTTCTGTGCAACCCGGATGGCCTGCCTGCACTGCCTGACGAAGTCGTCGACGTCCAGATAAAAAGACAGATTCTCCTCGCAGTGGGTCTCGCGGAGGTTCTCGCGGAACAGCAACCGCAGGGCGGGGTCGTTGAGAATCTTGTCGAGGCGTTGCGTGTTGGAATCGCGAGCGATCCCGCCTGGCCGCGTTGCCGATAACCCCTCGCTCTCGGATGCTCGCCCTCTGGCGGCGGCGCCGTTAGCAAGGTCTCGCCCCTTCGCCGTGACCTGGTAGATGGCGTGCTTGGTCGGCTGGAAGAGGCTATGGGCCGGGTGCTGGACCATGTAGGACCGGTCTTGCTGCACGGCTTCCATGAGATCATATTCCACGAAGAGCGCGGCAATCTCAAAAGTTTCTCTCTTGTCAACAGTTGTCGAGCAATCCAGCAACCAATCAGATGCGGCCTTCCCGGTGAAAGTATCCTTGAACGTCTTGCCGCCTACTTTGCGGTCGGCGGCCATCTTAACGCCGGTGAGACCGTCCTTGTAGTCGTTCAACGAGTCCGAGTCTGCCGAGCTCACGGTCGGCTTGATGTTGAAGCCATTGGCCCCGATAAACCTCCGGAAGATGACCTCGACCGTGCCGCGATCCGTAAGCAGCTTATCCGACTGCCCATCGCGCTCGAGGCTGACCAGTTGCGGGAGAGAGGAGCCAATGAGCTCGGCGACCTGCTTCTGTTGGATGCCGTTGCGCGAGCAAAAGCGGTCTAGGATGGAGATGCCCTTCGGGGTCAACTGCCAGACCACGCCCTTCATCGTGTACACGGACTGGTACCTCCCATCTGCTGACTCGATGAATCTTGCCTCCAAGAACCGCTGGCAGATGGAGCGAGCCATGTCCTTCGCCATCGAAAAGGTCGTGGTCGTGGTGGTGGTCACGATCCTCGACGGATCTTTCGGGTCTGGCATGCGGTTGGACTGGGAGAACTTGAGGGAGCCGAGGTTGTTGATGGCATCTTCCGAGAGGAAGGTGTGCTCCACCTTGGTCAATCGCACACGATGTGCTGAGAGCGGCAGAAGGCTGACTATTAAAGTAGAGAAGAGGTCTTTGAAATCCTGGTCGCGAGTTCCCGGTCAGCCGCCAAGTTGCCCGCGACGACAAGCCCAACCGTGCCGCGTGAGGGGTTGGGGAGTTGAGGAGTTGGGGGTTGAGGTAGGGTGCACCGTGGCGGCAGTCTCGGTCACCTCGAACACTTACTTTGGTGTATGGACGGTCATCGTCCGTCATGCGGAGTAACCGCGAAGATGTTTGGTGCATTTTATTGTCGAATCGGGGGAGGTGGGTCGGCTCGGGGAGCGAGGGATCGGTCTCACTATAAGGCTGGGAGGGGGGATCGCCGAGGACCAGAGTCGGGCTCAGCTGCCTGCCGTCAACGGATATCAACCCCACCGGAATGGCGTAGTTGGAGGTCGGACGGGCACTGCGAGGTCCCCTCTCCGGGCTGGACTGGCCGCTGCCGGGTGAGTCGGGGCCGGTCGAGAGGCGACTGAGGGATTGGCGCGGCCGGATCCGGGGCTCTGTGATGCCGGCGATGGTCCGGTCGAAAAAGGCGAGAAAACCGCCCGACCGTTGCGAACTAATGGACTGATGGCTCGAATGGTGTGGCCGATGTACGCTGGTGGAGCCGGTGACGGAGGAGGGTTCGGGTCGAGAGGCAACAACCGAAGAGGACGGACTCGAAGGAGATCGGATGCGGGAGGCGTCGATGCGCTCGCGAACTGGGACCGGGCTCGCTGGAGTTTCAGGCAATGGCGATGAGCGAGACGATTTAGACGTCGCGGCCATCTAACACCGACACCAAAAAAAATGGGGAGTTGGGCGGAATATTATGTGAGCGAGGGAGGGGGGGGGGGGCTAGTTGTGTGGTGGGCGGCGCCGGGACTGGGCGGGTTTCGGTTCAAATAAAAGAGGGACGCCCGGCAGAGGGCGAGCAAAAAACGTGGAGCGGGCCCGGATGGCTGCGATGGGGAGACAATGAGCCTGCACGCAGGAAGAACCAGGGGTCTGCGTGGTGTGTGGGAGTCAGGGGTCCCTGGATGGTACAGGTACAGGTACCTCAGCACTTCTGAATGGGTCAGTGGTAGGCTGTGGATCGTGGTGGGGACTGCCCACTGCCGCTTGCCGTCTGGCGATGATGCTCAAGTCTGCGCGCCTTCGAGGTACTTCATACACAGAAAAGCGATTCGACGGAAGTTCGGTTTCGAGACTGGCAGGAATAAATATCTCTTTTTTTTTTTTGTCAAGGTTGGATGGAAAATATGGCAGTTTGGAATCATGCTTTGGAATTATTTGAGCAGCAGTCTAGGATCCCAAAACCAAAGCTACACAGCTCAGAAATGACGAAAGAACCGACGGCGACACCACTGATGGGACGGGAGTTCTGGAACCAGCCGAGCCCAGGCTGGGTCCCCCCGCCCCTCCATTCTCAGACCGCCGCACATGGAACCCCTCCGCATCGAGCGGTCGAATGGTTCCACCAAGCCGCAAAGTTCATTCTGACGTTTTCTGTCCCGTGGTCCCTTCTGGAGCGAAAATCAAATCTGACAAAACACAAAAAGGCCCCATCACCAAGGTCCCTTTCCGACATAGAACAGGGATAGAGCGGTTCCCCTTCCACACGTGGGCGGTCAACAATTTCATCTTTGCCAACGTTCCCCGCCAATTGCGGAAATTCTTGCACTCCTCGCAATTGCTTCCGGGGTTGCAGGCTAGGCCGGAGTTAACAACAAAAGAGTTAAACCCACCGCTGTCTTAGCTGCACAGTACTGTGTACAGAGGGAGGTAGTTTATCAGCGATAGGCACCATATAACTAGCGGTTGACATTCCGCGCAGTCAGCACTCGCAAGCCCTGCGCAAAACATCCCGCACCGTGTGCCCCGAGACAGAAGCAATGGCGGTGGCTGCTCAGGGCTGGCTGTCGGTGGGCGCATGCCATGCAAAGGCAATATAAAACGGTGCTGCAGCTGGACAAGCATGGGCGAAAGAAGCGAGCTGCAGCGTCGCGAGACACTCGTCAGATTTTTTTTTTTTTTTGACACACACACACACTGCGTGGGCGACCTGGAAGCCGTGCCGTGTCATAAAGTGAGGACCAGCCCAGGGCTCCATTGCGGCCCAAGACAACCGATGATGGGCGGTGGACTGCGAGGTGCGCGATGCGCCGAGACGGCGTCGCAATGAACCCCCGAAAGGGGTTGAAGGAGAAAAGCGGGCGAAAAGGAAAAGCGGTCAAGGTCGATGCCATGGGGTGGAGTTGACCCCAATGCACGGATTGATTGGCGAGGAATCGCTGTGAGCCGATTTTGGGTGGGCGTGATGGCAGTTGTTCACGACGCGCGCTCATGGCTGCAGCCAAACAGCAGTCTCGCACATCAAGATCTGCGCGTGGCTCCAGGGATCTCTCCCACGAGGGCTCGTTCGGCTGTGGGCGGGGGCCCCTGCAGCCACGCTGTCTCGTCCACAAAAAGCTGCAGCCTGTGTCCTGTGAGGGGCTCGCTTTCTGTCTGAAAATGGAGTGGGTTGCTTGGCGTCCCAATCTTCAAAATCCTCTCGTAATTGCTCCGGCAGGCGAGGGCCCACAGGTGCAAAATCATGGCTCATGGCACTGCTGATTCTGGAGCTTGCTTGACTCTTGCGAGGCGGGGTTCCTGGTCGGCTGTCGCGTTTTGCCCACCGCCTCCTCCTCACCGCCTGCCGCGCCAGATAACTGAAAAACACCTCCGTCAACCGTTTTCAAGCTGCGTTTGCTGTTCAACCGGGACTCTCTTCAATCCGTAGAGGGTGGAACAGCAAAGCGGCGGCTGGTTGAAGCTAATGAGTCACCCACTTTTGGGAATGGCAGCGGCTTGATGTTTCCCCATGCGCGCAACCGCACGAAGAGCCAGCAGAGTCCGATGGTCGGATTGAGCCGCCGTGATATCTTGCTGAGTGGTGGGGATGGGATCCGCTGGCCAGGTCGGTGGGGTCGTTATCACGGAAACGGACGGAGTGATTTGTCTTGTGGGCCTGCACACCGAAACACCAAGCGGGGCGGCCCCGGTGCTGCTGGGCCGATGGCCGTCACACCGTGACAGAAAAAGGCCAGTTTGTGATGGATGCCATGTCGAAATCCGAAACTCAAATTTCCAAAACAGCCGGTTGCCAAACAGGAGGAATGGAGTTGGCGCCCATGCGGCACCGGAGACTTGGGATTTGAGATTGGAGAAACGCATTGAGACCCAAACCCAAAAGAGCCCCGCGCCTGATTAGTGCGCATAATAAATGGGTTGGGCAGATGATAGATCAGGAGCCTCCGCACCTCTGGTCTCACCCCAGGCCAATGGAGTCTAAGTTTTGTTCAGATCCGGGTTAGGTGCGATGTTTGACGTTTTGCCGTCGGAAGCTCGGGTGGGGGTGGGGCGGCAGTCGGACATCAGATCTCAGCCAGCATTGCAACGTTAAACCCTAAGTTCACTGACTTATGAGCGTATGATGTCTCGGCTTCGTTGACACACTGCGGTCACGAGAAAACGGATCCAACAGAACCTGGAAGACAGGGTCCAGGTGCCCGAAACAGAAATGTCGGGTTTGACAAGCCGAAGGCTAGGTCGGGTGCGGAGCCCAACCCTCAGGAGAAATTACAGCTATAGGCTGCTGGCAAAAGCTGTGCGACAGAGGGGCATTGCAGGTGGTGCGAGAATGTGGACCTGCAGCCTGGCAAGACAAAACATCACCATACTGTGTAAAACACCATAAAAAACCCCTCGTTTTATGATAACGACCCTAAGAAATGGAGAAGAGCGAGGGGGAAGATGGCACCATTTCCACGATGGGGCACCACTTTGCGGTGACAGCTGCTGCATGCAACATGCACGTCAAAGCCGTTTCATCGTGAACTGCAGGATCGACAGCTTACCGTGTGTGTGAAGGCTAGGTAGGTCGACTCGGGGAGGCAAGGTAGGTACGGAAGCAACACCGTCTTCACAGCTTCACAACATGCCTTTACATAACTAGGGTAGATAGTTAGTCACATCCCCTACATACCTCCCTCTGTATTCGTCCTCAATCAACACATTTCGTCATCCCGAGAGCTGCTCCCCGAAATCCCTGATGCCGGCCGCTTTACCGCCAGTTCTAGGCTCCCAAGGCTCCTCCTCCCTGGAACCAAAAAAACCGGCCGTCAGCCATCCCACGCACGCCTGCTGCCCGAGGCTCGGAGCAGAAGAGCCGATCTTGCCCCCTTTCGATACACAGCGCGCCCACAGATACCATCACAACTCAGACATGACGGCGATCGGGGAGTGAGGCTGATGACCGCTGGCTAGCCCTGCAAGGCGCCGGTGGGGGGGGGGGGGGGGCGGACAAGACAAAACCCGACCCCCCAACTAAGAACCGGGGGAGGCGAAAAAGATGCGTCGGGTATTGCCCCCGCCCCCTTAGCTGTACATAGTTGCTAGCCAAGAGTTGCATGCGTGATTCCGCGCCGCTGCCGCCGGCATTAGCCCGACCGGTGAAGGCCACCCGGAGGCGGGCCGGAGGATATCGTCCAGGGCGTTTGCTGGGCGCCCCTCGTGGGCAGCCAGGGAGCAAAGAAGAAGAAAAAAAAGGTGTGTGAGATGATGCAACGGGTCGAAGGGGTCGAAGGGGGTCCGAGGCGATCTTCAACCTTTTTTTTTTTTTTTCCTGCGCTACTACCGGAAAGGTAAAGGTGTTTCGGCTGCTTTGGGAAGTCCTGTACCGGTACTTGCATCCCCCTTGTGAAGTGCGGGATTGCCGCCACGTGAGCCAGGCTTGCGTCCTCTGACGGAAAAAGAGCGAAAGGGCGGGAAAAAAGCTTGGGTGTGGGGGGAGGGAAGGCCACGTGGTAAACACCTGCCGCGTGTCGCACACGGAAGCCCCCTCGGAATGGAAAGACCGGGGAGGAGGCGCGCACAAATTGGGAGAAGAGCGTGTTTGGGCTTTTCGCTCCTGCTTTGCATAAATGGTGCTGATATGAGATGAAACGGCAGGGTCGCTAGTTAACCAAGTCCCGGGAACCATCAGAACGGCGTGATTGAAACGGCCAGGTTTCCTCGACTTATCTCGCACCGATCATTTAAGTCAATAGTTGGCGATTGTGTATACCTTATCTTCCAGTGGGTCATTTTCTCTATTTATGTTTTTTTGTACATGCGCACCTCTGGCTCAGAATCCCGTCCAATGCCTCCGAATTGCAATTCCATGCGGAAGTGCTGGGAAAAGCCAGGCACATGGCCCGGCGTGCATCAAGCCCCAACCAGCCACTCAAGTTTCCTGGGACGATGCGGTTCGTCCAAAATGGAATGTTGCGCAGCTCGGGCCCAAAGCAGTGGAACACCAAGCCGAAACGCCGGATGGGGCTGCCTGGCTGCTCAACGGTTCGTATCTCGGACATCACAGACCATCTCACCAAAGACGCAATGCACAAGCAGACGTCTGATTTTATCCCGTCTCTCGCCTGTCATTTTCCATCTGTCATCTGTCATCTGTCATCTCGCTTTATTTAGCCAGGGATTCTGTTCAATAGTTCACAAATTCTCAAAAGCGATGAATCCGTTCCGACCAGGCATCATCCCAGCCTGCCGACGGCCCAGCGCTGGCTCTTCTTCCGCCCTTTTTCTCCCGCGAGAACCCTCAAACGGCCGATCATGCTTTCAGGCTGCAGTCCAAAATTCAGGTGAGCGAGTGGATAACCCGCGAACCCTTCTAGAAGACTCGGCGGTTTCACGATAGGTGGTCTCATTTGAGGGCAGAACCTTGTAAAGGCTGACGTAGCCGACGGGATGGACATGGATGGCTCATCTGCGATGCTGTTCTTCGACCCAGGGTGGTTTGTTGTGGGGGTAAACCTCGCCACCAGAGAAGCTCCACTGACGCCGGCAAAAGCCGTCTCTTCATCAGCTGCCGAATTCTGGGTCCTGGTGTGTGTAACTATTGTTTTGTTCAGGCTCGCCGAGTTTAGGGGCAAGCTGTGGTCTCCATCAAGGTCCTTTCTCTCGCTCCTCCGTGGCAGCTCAAGCCGCAGCTGGGATGGCCATCGAAAAAGAGGGTGAAGAACCCAGGATTCAAGCTGCGTGGGAAATTCCAAATCGAATTGCTGTCTGTCTAGAATCTATCAAGATAACTCAACTGTACGCCTCCTGCATCGGTTTCCTTTATCCAAGAAAACACACGGTCCAATCTGTTCCCCTGTCCCCCGAGTCGATTCAATGAAATAAGGAAAAAGAGTGAAAAGGAGAAACGGAACCCAAGCGCAAACGATGGATTGGACCGGCGCCCTTTTCGCTTCCCTATCTAGTCCGCCTTGGGCGTCTCAGGAAAGGAGGCGATGTTTCCCCAGTTGTCCTTTGAGTCAGAGTCCGCATTCCACCACTCGGCCAGGCGTTTGAGGGAGAAGTCGTCGTGCTTCTTTTGCGAGAAGACCATTTCCTCGCCTCCCGAACCATGATGTTGCGGGGGTTGATGTCGTTGTGGGCGAGGCCGAGCGAGTGCAGGAACTTGACGGCCGACTCGACCCCCGCGAGGAAGGCCTGCTTGTCGATCTGATCGAACATTGTTTTGTGCTCGGATATGCAGCCGCCGGGGCAGCGGGCGTAGTGGCTCAACGTCTCCCCGAGCCGCTCCATCGCAATGCCCGTGATACGCCCGCGGCGGACTGTGCATCCATGATACCGAACCAGGTACGGATGGGGTGTCTTGGAGATGCTTTCCGTCGTGAAGACTTCGGCGAGCTCTTGGTCTTTGGTGGCGCACTCAGCCTCCTTTTCGGCGCCTAGGTAATACTTCAGGCCCGGGCGTTTGATGTGGATGGTGCTACCGTCCAGGTTCTTCGGCGCAATGGTGATTTGCTGATCGGTAGGGACCTCGGGGAAGATGGCGTCGTCGCTCAGACGCTTGAGACCGGTGGCGAACTCGTCCAAGGTCATGTCGCGCCTGTCCTTGTATGAAGATCCATGATAAGCTTCATGATCTTCCGTGTAATGAAACCATTCGACGTAATGGCCGGTCGTCGAATCGAAGAGACAGAAAATCTGTAGGTCCTCCACGTCCTTAACATTTGGGCGCTTTTCGGTGGCCATGATGTTCTTGGCTAATTCCCGACCCGCCCGGGGTCCTAGGACAGAGAGGAGGTAAGGCGGAAAGATGACAAACGACCTGCTGGCAGGTGAGGAGACTTGAGGAGGGTGGAGGGTAGCTCTGGCCAGGCGTTTGCGGGAAGTAGGGCATATGTATGAGAAGGGCAGGGTAGCTCATCCATACATAAAAATGAATAGACTTAAGGGATCAGGTTTGGGCATTGGAGCAGATGCTTTGAGCGCGAGGGGGCACGCAGACCCGGAAAATGAAGAAAACAAAGACTCGCCATCTTTCACCAATTTGGACCCACCACGTCAACCACCCCCTCTTCTTGCATTCTTATTGTGCCCAAAATATTCCTCAGCCGCATGGGTTAATGTGATGCAGCAAGCCATAGGGTGACTGGATTCCTGGACACGGGCGAGGTGTCACTTTTCGGGAAGCCACATGCCAGCAGCAGGGCCCCAGGTTAGCACGTCTGTCGGTGTGACCAAATGTGAGATGTGAGATGGGAGATATGAGATGTAAAGAAACAGACTACGCGCGATAAGCGTAGGTACGAAGAAAATGACTTGTGTCATTTGTCGCTTCTGAGACCCGGCCTCTCTGCCCAAACAACTTTCCAAGCGCAATGCAGGCTGTTTTCCTTCCCTGTCAACTCTGTCAACCTTGCATATCAACGCTATGTAGGAGGCACAGCCCTGGCCTTTGAGAAGACGCATACGAGCACCTTTGGGGGGTGGCCGCAGACTGGAACACCGGCGGTGAGCGGCTCTTTGCTCCTGAGGCATGGACATGGCCATGGGCCTTGTTTTGATAGGACCGGTAGGTATTGGATCATGCAAAGGGATGTCCACAAAACAAAAAGTATAAGTAAAGGACCAACCCCGAGGGCGAACTGGTTGAGACTTTCCCTCCCAAGCAACAGCAACAGCAACATCTCTTCAATCACATTTGCCTCTGATTTGGCATCACGCCAATCTCTTCAGTGCTCTGCACCTCAGATTCTGCAAACTCGGAAAGAAACACCGCCATCATGTGGGTACTCTCTGCCTTGCTTCTTCCGCCCCAAAGAAAGACACCAAAGATGAGAAGAATGGCGGCAACAAGAAGAAGAACAGCGACAACAAGAAGCACGGCGGAAATAAGACACAGGCGGAAACAAGACACAGGCGGCCACTTAACAAGGTACATACTGCGACATCCCAGCGGCTCAGCACCTGTGTGAGACGGGTATGACAGGTGATCACATAGGAGGTACGCGGGAGGGGGAGGAGATGGGACCTTTGGGGTGGCACTCTGAGCTTTGTGATTAAATTGTGGATGGAAGGGAGGTGTGTATTCTTGTCTCAGAGGTCAGAAGTAGCAATTCACCTGTGTTCTGTGGTTTGGAAAAAAATCGTCTCTTTTGACTTGCTGTGATAACTAAGGCAGGCAATGACAAGGGTTGTTTGGTTTGTGTAAGACACAGCCAGTCACACTCAGACAAACCACTCACCAATCGCAGCGCTAGGCTGGGTGCGGAACAACCTCACCATTTGGTTGGTTTCATCTCGTGCGGCTCGGCCACCAAAGCTCCTCCTCTCATTGCTCCTCTTGGAAAATAAATGGGTAACTGGCTGCGATATGCAACAAGGCAGTCTCGCCACCATGGCGGTTTTCGTCGTCGAGGGTCACCAAATCCCCGAACTCGCCAAACCCGACAAGCTTGTTTTACTTATCGCTGCAGTCACCCAACACCACCAGCAAGCATCACAAGCCAAGTAATATAACCTGCATGCATCAACAAGCAAACCGCACTCATTAAACCATGCCGGCCTCCCTCGACTCCGCCGACCCCTCCCACGGCTACGGCCACCACCACCGCCGACCCAACCCAGCCCCCCGGTCTCCCGGAACCCCGCGCGGGGAGGGGATGGTCCCACGGGACTCACGCGATCGCAATCGGGACCGAGACCGAAATCAAGATCGAGATCGGGATCGGGATCGGGATCGGCAGCACCACCGGCCCCGGCCCCGGCCACGACCCCGCTCCCCCTCCCCCGCCGCCTCCACCTCGGCCACATCCGCCTGCTCCTGCTCAACAACAACAACCACCACCGCGAGCGGCCCCACAGCCACCAACACCCACAGCAGAACCGCCCACGGCAGTAGCAACAGCACCACCACCACCAACAACCGCAAAGCCCTCATCCCCTACCCCCATCAACCACAACAACAGCGGCGCCGGCGCCGGCGACACGGCTCGTCCTTCTCAGCCTCTGACTCCGACTCCGAATCCGACGACGGCGCCCCTGAGGAGTACACAGTCTACCCGGACGGGCGGATCCACGAGCACCGGCGTCGGAAGGGGGTAGGGCAAGGCAAGGAAAAGGGGTATCGTCGGGGTGATGGTGGGGGTGGTTATGATGATGAGGAGGGGTATGATGAGTATGGCGGTGGGAGGAGGAGGTTGAGGCGGTCGCGGTCGCGGTCGAGGGAGGAGGCGAAGGGGTTTTTGATTGCGGCGGTGGTGCTTGTGGCGGGGATTGTGTTGTGCTGTGATTGATTGAGGGGATGGTTTTCATTTTGGTGGTTGGGCGATGACAGACAGGGTATTGGCGTTGCGGGTGCGGGTGCGGATTGCGGTTTAATGGGTTTGGCGGGATAGAGGTATCTAGATGTGCGCGCGACGCGGCACTTATCTTAGCAATGATCAGTTCCTATCTATTATGAGTTAAATGACGCTGCCTGGTTGAGAAGTGCACGCGGCTCCCATTGTAAATGTCCGAGACTTGACATCAACGGCCAAACCGCAGGGGGTAGATTTCACCACAACGATCAAAGCTTCCAACTATCATCGTTTTAACCTCCGCCAGGGTAACCGGACCCAACTCCAGAATTCCCCTATATGTGAACCCTCCAAAAACGCCACCCGAACGCCCAGCTAATGCCCTTAAAGAAGTGAATAATACAATCCAAGCTTTCCATTTCGAGTCTCCACAGATCCCCCGGGCGAGATTTTCCTCTCAGATAGAACTGGGCGCGGCATCCTTGCGCCACCCCTTGGCGCGCATGTTCGCCTCGATGCCCTTCCAGATCGCCTCGACGACCTCGCGATCCCGCCAGCGGCTGGTCTCGGCGCCGGGCTGGCCCGGATCGCGCCACTTCTCCACCGAGCACGAGAGCACCTTGTGGCCGAAGGCGCGCACGGCCTCGGGCGGCTCGTCACCGCGCCAGCCCAGGTACACGCCGAGCACGTGCTTGAACAGCTCGGTCGGGTTGCTCCACCGGTAGTTCTTAAACTGCCACGCCTGGCCCGTCGTGAACACCGCCACCACCCGGTTCCAGTACTCGGGCTTGAACTGCTCCGGCCCTTCCACCAGGATGAACCGCATTGGCCGCGTCGCGTCGATGTCCTTGATGAGCCGCGAAATGTGCAGCATGGTCGACGTCGAGGTGTGGTCCGGCGGCGCGTACCGCCCGCCCTCGAGGAACGATTTGGCGTTGGACATGCGCAGGAGCGCCGAGGCTGACGGCGAGAGGAGGATGATGGGGTCGGGTCGACGGACCGGCTTTTGGTTGAGCGCGAGCGACGGGTTGGCACCAATACCGGTTGCTGTGGGGGTCCCGCCTGGTTTGCGCGTCATGAAGGGCGTGGCGAGCTTGCGAACGTGGGAGAAGTCCTGTGGCGTTGACTGGTTAGGATTGTACCACAACATTTAACACGTAGAATTTGGCCACTCACAGTCGCCTTAATACCCCTGAGGATGGTATTCCGGTCGCCCATGCGCCGCTCCCCGTTATAGATCTGCGCTAGGCGTGGATCCATTGTACCTCGCCCTGCGCGTCCCGACGCGGCCGGCGCGGCCTTCAACGCTGTCCCCGCCGCCGCCGCGCCGGCACCCGCTGCGGCATCCTTGTCCCCGGGCAGGGGCTTGATAAACTCGCTCTCCTCTTGCGCGCCCTCCAAAAACGTAAACAGCACGAGACGCTCAACAAACGCAAACATGTGCACGGCCGTGGCGCCAGCCATCTCCTCGTTCAGCTTGGTAGCCACGGCATTGTATTCGGGAATGGCAAAGTCGCGGTTCAGCCAGGCAAAGTAGATGGATCGCACATCGACGGCCTTGCCCTCGGTTGACGTAAATCGCGTCGGCGCATCGATAGGCACGGCGACCCGGGCCGGATCGGTGAAGACGAGGTGGGTGGCCTTGGAAAGCGGTGCTTCTTCTGACGAGTCGGCCGATGCGGTTGGTGTGATCTTGCTACCCGAAGCAATTGATTGCCGCAGAAGCAGCAGTGGATCTTCAACTGAAGCCATCTCGTTGTTTTTCCAAGGCTCAAAAACTCGGGGATTTTTGAATTGGGTTCGGTTCGGTGGTAGGGAATGGCGAGTTGTGGAGGTGTGGCTACGAAGCTGCTTGGGAAGAAGTCGCGTTTCTTTACTCGAGACGAGGCTGCGAGGCGAGGGCAGAGGTCAGAGGCCAGGGATCAGAAATCCCCACTCATTTACTCGAAAGGCTGAAAGCGGGTGTGCTCGGACCATCAGACCCACCTCCTACATACAGGGGCGACAACAATAACAAAAGGGATGTGCCCCTTTCGAGCTATTGTCTGTCATTCTCGGTACTCCGTACTTAATTAACCACGGCGCTCTCAATCCCCCACTTTTGGTGTGCGAGTGTGAAGGAACCTTTTATTCTTGCAGTATTTTGCCCCGCCTTCGCTCTACTATACCCGGAACCATCGTAAACAAACCCCCATTGTTCGATCGAGCATGAGCAACCCGGGTATTGATCCCAAAGCCGTGCTCAAAATGTGTCATGGTCGCATATAAAATTATCATCAAGGCCACAGAAAATGGACCCACGGTGTCCTCCAGTCCAAACTCGTGATAACGAGCTACGTAGCTTTGGCCCAAAAGGACGGGCAGTCCTGCGCTATGCTGGACGCTTCCCGAGACCGCGAATTCATGCGATGTTGTTCGGTCGGGATCATCACATATCCTCTGGCCCCGCCGCACTTCGTAGGAAGGCCAGCACCGAATGATTTTCGGTGGTAGCAAGTTTGCCTCGCAGGACAGGATTGCTGGAAACCGCCCAATTGGTGCTCAGCAGCCGGCAAAACCAGCTGGACACTTCATTTGTCCGCAAGTCACAAAGCAAGTAAGACACCCCATACCTAACCTCATGAGTCAACAAGCATCGTGTCGTCGCCATCAAACGCTGGCCCAGGCTGCTCGACTGCGACACCTCGTCCTCGCCCGGCGAGCAGCTCCCTCCTGATTTCGGGAGCAATCTTGTCGTGGCCATGGTTCAAAAGAAGGTCCAAGAGGGCTTCGCGTTGGTCTTCAGTAACTAAGGGCAGGAATGAGCATTATGGACAGATTTACAAGGTTCAAGAGAAAAAAAGACACTTACTGTCGTTGCGATATCGTTGCGCAAACACAAGCATGCACTGGTGGAAAATCACAGGCAGTGATCTGGGGCCATCTCCATCCCTGGCGGACGCAGCGTACCGGAGGAAATGGAAGACGAGGGAGTCAACGCATTGCCATGCTATCGCGTCAGGTTAGTATCCCGAGAGTACTGGAACTTGGATAAACGGCTGCATATGAACTTACGCAAGGCATATTTCTTTTCTAGAAGAACCTTCAGCATGAAATTGGTCGCGCTGACACATTCTGATTGCTGAGAGGCCTGCTCGGCGGCGATATCGCACAGTGTCTTGATAGCCGCTGCCGAGTGGAGGACCGGAATGGACACGCGAGCCAAAACAGCAGAGATGATTTGCGCCTCACGTAATGTGCAAGTGCCTTGCTAACAGTTAGCACAAGAAAGCTCTTGTTAGTGAGGATACGAAACAACTTACCTGACGCAGCTAACGGAAAGAGAAAACCTGGTTCAAACAGTTAGCCTCAAAGATGCGTCGCCAATGTGGAGTTAGACAAACCCTTGAAGAAGCCTGCGGGCTTGTAGAGGCCCCGCTTGAGGCAGTTGAAAAGATGCACGTTGAGTTTCTTGTTCTCATAAATGTCCTCGCGGACGCGCTCCAAGATGACCATCTCCATAAACCGCTGAACGACCAGCGGTTTGGCCGACACGAAGATCCTCGTCGCAGCGTAACACGCATTCGGGGTCCTAGAACCTTAGTTCAGCCTATCTTCTCGAGGTTCCCGGGTTTGGAATGCACCTACCATTGATCTGGTCGCGTGATTTGAAGAATGTCTTCCCAGTGGGGGATTTGTGGTAGGATCTTGAACGGTTTCGGCAACGGCCCGGACTTGTAGCGGGCGAGAATGAGCCCAATTCTGGCGGCTCGTTAGCACCCTCGTTCCTATCGACCGTCCGCCCCAATCCCGGCCACACGTACTTGGTAAACACCTCGATCACCTTCGGCGGCATCTCATAGTCCTCCTCGATCGGGTTGAAGTCCTGCTGCTGCCCACCCTGCATCGCTTCCTTCTCGGCGATCTTGGCCATGATCAAATCTGCCAGATTTGTCCCACCCCCCTGCTCTTCTGTCCCGTCGCCTGGCGTCCGATCCCAGCCGTGTGTGAGAAGGGGGTCATCGTTCATTGTCGGCGTGACGAAGCGGTTGAAGGTATCGAGATCGGCTGCGTCGACCTCAATTTCCTCGACAACATCCTCCTCATCACCCCACGCCTCTTCGTTGGCGTATTCCTCCTCATCCTGGTCGCTATCGCCTTCTAACCGGGAGGGGTCAAAGTCGAAACCGGACGGTGCCGATACGTCTCGGTTTTTGTGGCCGGCTTGGAGCTCCTCCTCGTCAATGAGGTCGCGGCTCAAAGCCAGAATCTTGCGGGAAGATTTGGCGTCGACATAGGCCTGCTCCTCGGCTTGTTTCCTGTCGGCCCGCTTCGAGGGCCTCCCCTCTCGATTTTTAAGTACTCCGGTCGCGAGTAGGTCATTTTCGAGGGGGTTATGACGTCTCTTGTTGGATAGCGACGCTGTTGTTGATTTGGGCATTTTGAGATCTGCGCAATATGGCGCTAGATGAAGCGATTTACGTCGTGGAATGACCTCGTAGTAAGTATAGTAGGCGGCTCAGGCTTCAACTTGAAACGGGTAATTTTTCGTGCATCTTCACAAAAAAGTTACCATAGTGGACCCCCTCCTGGTTGCGCTGTAGCTGTGATTGGTTGCAAGAGTCCCATGGGCGGAAATACAATACACCGGCAAGCTTATCGCTCAAGCAAATGTCTTATCGATAACAGACGGAAGCCCCGCGGTGCCCCGCGTCATGCCCCCAAATTCTTGAAATTTGAGCTGCAGCTGCGGGCGAGGAAAGAAGCATCGTGACTGGAACAAAACAAAGATTATACAATATTCTTTTTCCCGAATTCAACCATGCCAACAGAACTCGAGGAGGTAATATTACGCCTGGAAAAATGAAATTCAATGATCTAAAGATAGCTGACGAATTGCCCGCAGCTCGTGGGATTCATTGCCCACCCAAACCCCCAAATCCGCAAACTTGCCACTGAGAATCTCGTGCCGTATTCCGTGGAACAGCCTTCAATCTTCAAGGCGGAGGAGCTTCTTCCCGTGAAACATCTCAAGTTCTTAATCCGGGATCATCCAGTGAGAAATCGCCGTTGCTCTGTAAATGCGCCCCTGCTAAGACGCTGCACAGGAAATCGCAGAGCATGCTCTCACCATCTTGATCAATTTGACGGCAGACCGAAGCATTTTGGAATATGTGGCCACTGACGACAAATTTCTCGGCATTCTCCTTGGTAATCTAGTTGTATGTATGTTGGCCATACCGCGGCCAGAAATCTCTCGGTGTTTCGGGAACAGGGCTGACCGAGGGAACGTCGACTTTGGTAGGACCCGGCAGAACCCAATGCCAATTTACTCGCCATGCTACTCGCCAACATGGTCAAGTGGGATGACCTCAAGAGCCTCGCGACCCGCAAGCAAGACCCGCCAAGTACCCTGCAGTCCCACCAGCTCGTGCTAAACCAGCTGCTTGATCTCTTCGTGAAGGGGGCTGATGGCACATACAATAAGAAGGCCGACTTCGACTACCTTGCCTACGTTCTCGCCGACCTCTCTAAGCACCCAGAGATACGGCAGTTCTTCGTCAATAAGCAAGAGTACGACGGCGTAGTCCCCATCAACAAGATCAAGGTCTTCACAGAACATAAGTCGGATATTCGGAGGAAAGGCGTGGCGAGCACCATCAAGAACGCGGCGTTTGATGTGCCAGCACACCCTGCGTTCCTCGACGAGGACCAGATTAATATCCTCCCCTATCTCTTGCTGCCTATCACCGGAAACGAGCAGTATGATGAGGAGGAAATGATGGGGATGCTGCCGGATCTGCAGTTGCTGCCGCCCGACAAGCAACGAGATTCAGATCCCAAGATTGTTCAGACTCACGTCGAGACACTGACCCTTCTGACAACTACGAGAGAAGGGCGGGATCTGATGCGAAGTGTCAACGTTTACCCGATTATCCGAGAGACACATCTCAAGGTCAACGACGAGGACGTTCAAGAAGCGTGTGAGCGGTTGGTCCAGGTATTAATGAGAGACGAGGCTGAACCGGGGGCGGAGGGGGAAGCCGAGGACGACGGTGAGGACGACAGGATAGTTGAAGTTTGAGAGTCTTCAAATGCATACGGGAGTCGAGTCGAATCGAATCGCAGATGCCACCAAGTCGCCAAGCAAAGCATTACATATCCTTGCTGCCCAGCCAAACGGTTGAGGCAAGAAGTCGCGTGCTCTCATTCCTGCTCTAGCAGCCAAGAATCCAAGAGCTACCCAAGACCGCCACGGCGGGACGCTACGCGAGCCAAGCAAAACAAGCATCGAGATAAGCAGTGAAGAAAGCTTAGCACGGCAATGCACGGCCGCTAACAATATCTCGACATGACGACGTTCAACCATGGGAGAGCGCCCACCCGGAGATGTACGAGACAGCTAAACGTGGATGACCGAGAGCGACCACCGATAAGACTGGTGGCTATATGTACGTACCTATGTACCCAGCTTGCCAGCCTCATTCTTGAATGCAGCAAGACGCGGAAACCCCGACGAACCATCCGCATTTGTGGCCGGTGCGGTGCGACAGAGTGGCGTCATGGTTTAAAAAGTGATCACCTCACAAACGGCTCGTGCCTGGGTTGCTGTATCCGATTGGCCCCGCGCCACATGTCCTCGGCAGCGATGGTCGATCGATTGCTTGTCGATGTATGCAAGACTCAGACAAAGACTCTTTGAGAGGCCCAAGGAGCTGCACAATGAACGCATTCCAGCATCATCAACTTCAGTATTCGTTGGAGCTTGTCCTTGGTTTTGCCAAGGCATGCCAAGTAGCCAGGGCAATATCATGCTGCCATTCCACGAGTCCAGAGGACTCCGACCGAGGTTCAAATCAAGACTACACAGTATGGCCGTGACTGGAGATAACTACACTACCGTTCAGTGGCGGCCGGGAGAAAAGTTGGCATCGAACCCCGTCCACCGCAGGATCTGGAGCTTGATTGAGATGCAAGTCCCCCATGCCCCAGAAAAAAAAACGGGAGAATCCGACGAACCAACGTTCGAGAACCCGAAACGTGGTGCGCTTTCAGGTCTGTCATTCGTGGGGAAGACCCATGCTCCCGGAACAGTCGAAGCCCCGCTGCTGTGGGTAACGGTCCAGGTTGGTCCTCCTGGTACGACTTTCCGCTTCTGGACCTCTATCAACGAGCGATTGGCTCATTGTTCTTTCGGTACGCTCTCCGACTTCCGATCCGACTTCCGATAAATCGCTCTGTCATTGAGCTGAGTCGGGCTGGGGGTCCTGACTGGTCGAAGCAGCCAGGGGCCTTGACCGAGACACCGTTTGGGGAAATGGGCGTCTGGAGGTGGCCGTAACGGAGATTTTGTGGGCGCCAGTTCGCGAAGCAATCCATCCTCGCCCAAGCCTCTGCCGGTCGCCAAGAACGACGTGCAGACGGGACGGAGATGCCCAGCAATGCCCAGCAATGCCCAGGATGCCTAGAGATGCCGAGAGATAGAGGGCAGGGGTAAGGTTCACTGTGCACTACATCGAGCATGAAACATATCGTTTCGAGGGCTCACAAACCCTGAAGGATGAAAATCAAGTTGAGGGAGTGTTGGTCGACCCGGAAGTTCCGTCCAGGTGGGTGTGAATACGCTGCCTGCCGGGAGCCATTGCAGTTCCCAGCTCTCCCACGTGCAACAGCTGCGCAACCCGAACGGTCCAGGTAATTGGGACAGAAGCAGCCACCGAGAGGTGGGGGAGTGGGTGAGGTGTTGGGCGATGACGGACATGGGCATGGGTAGCAGCAGTGGGGAGGCAAACGACAAGGACGCAGCTAATTATGTACCAGTATGTACACAGCAGCTGGGCACCCTGCACACTGGGCCTGCTGCCCACGCGAGCACATCCAAAACTCGTACCCGGAACGCGGCGGAACTTCTCAGCCAAGCCGAAATCCTCTTCTCGAGAAAGTCTATATCCTCTCCGGCTTCCCCTCCCGCTCGAAAACCATTCTGTTTCCTTCACCCTTCCCCCCGACTCCCACCAGCATCACATTACTACGACTCAGCTGGCTGGCCTTGTCGAGATACTCGCGGCCATCCCACCCCTCCTCCCGCGTACCTCCCCGCTGCCACCAGACTCTCCAAACACTTCGGCCTTACACGCTGAGTACACGTTCTCACCATGGCGGCGACAAAAACCAGCGGTGGCAACAATGCGTACCACAACTTCCGTACGCTATCCCTAAACTCCCTCGAGGAATAATCTGGCTCATGAGTTTCGCTAGACAATGACTTTGCCCACATCAAGGACGTGAATGAGCGGCGACGGCTCGCCCTTGCCGAAGTCGACAGGGCCCCCTTCGGCTGGTACCACGTCCGCGCTATCGTCGTCGCGGGCGTCGGTTTCTTTACCGATTCTTACGATATCTTCACCGTCTCGCTCCTCACCCTCATGCTCGGTGTTGTGTACTACCCCGGCGTCGGTCAGATGCCCACCACCTCCGACACTGCCATTAAGCTCGCGACCTCCGCCGGTACCGTCATCGGCCAGCTCGGCTTCGGTGCCCTGGCTGATATCGTTGGCCGGAAGCGCATGTACGGCCTCGAGCTGATCATGATTATCTTCGCTACGCTCGCTCAGGCCCTGACCTCCTCGTCCCCCTCCATGGATATCATCGGTGTCATTATCTTTTGGCGTGTTCTCATGGTGAGCCTCTTACTCACGCCTCTCCCCGGGAGAGGCCCAATTGAGGCTAACTGGACGTCTCTAGGGTATCGGCATTGGCGGCGACTACCCTCTTTCTAGTATCATTACCTCCGAGTTCGCCACTACTAAGTGGAGAGGTGCTATGATGGGCGCCGTGTTCGCCATGCAAGGTCTCGGCCAACTCGCTGCCGCCTTTGTCATGCTGTTCCTCACCCTTGGCTTCAAGTCATCGCTCGAGACGTCCCCCAAGCTCGCCGAGTGCACCGGTGGCTGCGCCCAGGCTGTCGACAAGATGTGGCGTGTCCTGATCGGATTCGGTGCCGTCCCCGGCTGCATTGCCCTCTACTATCGCCTTACCATTCCCGAAACACCGCGCTACACCTTTGACGTCAAAATGGATGTCGAAAAGGCTGAGGGTGACGCCGAGGCCTACCTGAAGGGCAAGTCGGGCGCCGCCCCGGACGAACTCGCTCGCGCCACGACCCAGAAGCAGGCCAACGAGGAGCTGAAGACCGAGAAGGCCAGCTGGTCCGACTTCTTCCGCCACTATGCCAAGCCCAAGAACGCTATGCTCTTGGCTGGGTAAGCATTCACTTCCCCCGGGCGTCGCGAGTCGCGAGATTATTAACGAACCAATTCTCCCCCACAGAACCGCTCTTTCGTGGTGTTTCCTCGACATCGCCTACTATGGCGTCTCACTCAACAACGCCGTCATCCTTGAGGTGATTGGCTACTCGACCAAGAACGCCAACAACACATACGAGATCCTGTACAACACGGCCGTCGGCAACTTGATCATCGTGCTCGCGGGGGCGGTGCCGGGCTACTGGGTGACCGTCTTCACGGTGGACACGCTCGGGCGCAAGCCGATCCAGTTCATGGGCTTCACGATCCTGACGGTGCTCTTCGTGGTGATGGGGTTCGCCTACTTCCACATCTCGCCCAACGGCCTGCTCGCCATCTTCGTGCTCGCCCAGTTCTTCTTCAACTTCGGCCCCAACGCCACCACCTTCATCGTCCCCGGTGAGTGCTTCCCCACCCGCTACCGCTCCACTTCCCACGGCATCTCGGCCGCCTCGGGCAAGATCGGCAGCATCATCGGCCAGGGCGCCATCGCGCCCCTCCGCACCCGCGGCGCCACCCCGGGCAACCCCAACCCCTGGATGGACCACGTCCTCGAGATCTACGCCCTGTTCATGCTGCTCGGCATCGGCTCCACCGCCCTGATCAAGGAGACCAAGCGCAAGACGCTGGAGGAGCTGGCGGTTGATGACGAGGATGAGGTGGTCGCCAACTCCGGCTCGGATGCGAACCCGGGGGTTCTGTCTACGGATGCGGCGAAGGAGGACCCTGCGGCCTCTTCGGGCGGCAATGCGGGCGGTGATGAGATTCAGAAGTCTCAGTAGATCCAGGGAATTTCTTATTGATATTTTTCTCGTTTGTTTGGAAGAACCAGAAAGAAAGTGTGAACCAAGGGTGGCGAGGTGTATCTAGAGATGGACGGTTGTGGTGTTAAATTATACCCCTGTGAGCCAGACTAACACAAAACGTCTCTATTAATGAATGCTGTATACTATATAACGAGCCAGTTACTCCTTTACAACCCCGCCAATCCGTTTTGAATCCGTCATGGCCATTTCAGTGCCACTACCTTTCAGCTAGCAATTTGCAAAGGTACGAAGTACAGCCATTCCATATCAGCCACATTGAAGATATTTTAGCTGCAACCAGTTACTCATGGCAACCCGGCGACGAACACCGGCAAAGGCGCTGGCTCTCGGGTCGACTCCACTCCACCAACGGCAACATCGTGTGATCCAGTTCAAGGCGGGCGGGCACCTGATTGACCTTCCCTTCCGTCTACTGTCTTCTCATCCTTTATGTCATAACCCAACGAGCGCCGCCTAACCATGCAACATCGGAACCTCAGATTAAGGAAAAGGAGACACAAAATCAGCGAAAAAAACACCAAAAACATACAACACCAAGGATTCCCCAGTCGTCACCGACCTGAGTACTAATTTGGCTCTCACGAGTTTGACTAGGGGAGAGCGGACGGGATCCCGTATTTTCTCGTGGATATGGTCGTATGTGGTAGCCGAGTGAGCCAGTGTCGTTTATGAAGGTGGGTTCGAGTGCTCCACAGTAGAGAAATTACAATACAACAGCAAACAACAAAAAAATACATACATACAACACCAAGGATTCCCCAGTCGTCACCGACCTGAGTACTAATTTGGCTCTCACGAGTTTGACTAGGGGAGAGCGGACGGGATCCCGTACTTTCTCGTAGATATGGTCGTATGTAGCAGCTTAGAGCGTTAGCTGAATCTATATCTTAGGTTGTTGTGCTGGAGTGAAGGAATAAGGGGTGATGCTGGGGGTATATGCGCCGGCGGATAGGTGGGGCAGCTTGAACTCGGTCTACAGTAGGTGTGTACGTGTATCCAAGAGTTGAGATCGTTTTCGGAGTTTCAATAGGTCTTGGGAGTTGGTATTGGTGGCTAGAGTTCGGGTTGTAATGTAGACCGTGTGTTCCAGATCGGGGGGGAATCCAAGGATATTCAAATTAAATTATTCATCCCATGATACATGTTCGGCAGAAGCCCATCCACGGCGTAACTGCATTCTGAGTCTAGTATCGCATCCATAATGAAAGCCCAAACCGGGTAAGGCTGTCTGTAATCCCCCAGTTGCAACGACACGAGTTTAAGCAAACACATAAACACCTCCCACCCTATCTCATCATCAATTAAATCCACCCACAAAGATATCCACCCATCTAGATTCATTCATCACACATTCCCCATCCCACATTCACCTCATAACATCATTCACATCCCCCCTCCACCACCCCCACCACCACCATTACCACCCTGCGGCCCCCCACCAAAAAAGAAACCATCAAACAAATCCAGCTGCTGCCCATCATTAAAATCATGATGCAGCCCCTCCCAGCCGAGCCCAAAGCCCAGATCCATATGTGTGTCGGCCAGGCCACTGAAGTCGACCGCGTCCAACCCCCCTACGCTACCGCCCCCACCACCACCACCGGCCGCACCGGCGCTATTGTCGTTGCCATTGCTGTTGGCGTTGGGGCTGAGATTCTGCAGGAAATCCATGCCCTGCAGCTCACTAAGCGATATTGCCCCGGGGCTGAACTGCTGCTGCTGCTGCTGTTGCTGTTGCTGTTGCTGTCGCTGTCGTGGGGAGAGGAAATCTGCTGGCGGCGATTGGTTCACTAGCTCTGCCATCGGGGAGGTGAGTTGCGCGGTGGGCGGGGTGGGACGTTGTTGGATGGCTGCTGGGGAGGGCATCCTTTGTTGGCCGACGCTCGCCGCTGCTGCTTCGGGAGTAAGCGGGCTGCTGGTGTTGCCGGTGGGGCTGGTGTTGATTTGTGCGGGGACGGAAAGGTTGCGGATGTGGGAATAACCCTCTTGTTCGGCCTTCACTGCGGGGCCGCTGGGGAGACGGTATTGTGCGCCCTTTTGAAAGGCGGATAGTAACGAAGGGTTGCTGGAGTATGCGTCCGGAAGGGCGGTGGGCGTTTGGTCCACTGATGGCGAGCCACGGAAGTGACGTTTGTGGTGAGGTTTGCCTAGCATAGGGGCGTTGTCGCTTCTCGTGCTCCAGTTGAGTCGGCTGTGTTCAAGGGTGGTTCTTGGATTGGAGGGTACGCTGGCGTGTGGCTGTCGGTATTGCTGGCCAAAGCCACCGGAGGCGTTGACCATCTTGAGTGTGGCCTTGACGGTGCGGTCAAATGCGTCTCGGCACGCCTCAGCGGGCGGACACTTGTCCATAAAATCCGTAAACACAGATGTTGCTGCCAGAATAGTGAAATCCACTTCGTCCATAGACTACACACACACGTCAGCAATAGCCTATCAATCAAGAAAGCAAACCACCTACCAGCCGGCTCCTAACAATCGGGGAGTGCCAAATCGCGTAGAGATACGATATCCCCGCCACAAACAGATGGTGCGTCGTCAGGTAAGTGTAGTTCACAACGCCCACTAGATGCAGCTGGCGGTACAGCCTCAGGATCTTCTGGCCGGCCTCAGCAACTTTGAGATAGACCCGGTCCTCGTCCTCGCTCAGCTCCGCGTTGTAGATGGCAGGGTTGTCCACCTCCTTGGCTGTGTCATACTCGCCCTCAAAGACCGTCGGCACGCTCAGGCTCTGCCTGTACAACATGATGATGGCCTGCCAATAGTTGAGATGTAGAAAGTCGGTCAAGAAGGCCACGCCCGTGTCTTCTTTTCGCGGCGCCGAGTTCTTCCACTCATACAGCCTCCTGTCGATGTCAATTCGCCAGGATCGGAACGAATCAAACTTGACCAGAAACGGGGAGGGCAACGCCGTGTGCATATAGGGGTTTTGGCAGCCTTTACCGCCTGCCCAGGCGCTTTGAGCTTGTCGAAATTGCAAGACCTGCAGTATCTCGGACTGCAGAAGCCTGAGCCGGAAGTAGTGGTGGGCCACCAGCTTGTAGCTCGGCAGTGGTGATCCGGAAGGTGGTTGAACAATGCCGTTGGGTGTGATGAACCGGTCCTCCAGCAGCGAAGGAAATTCGGTTGTGATGACCTGGTCCGAGATACCGAAGGGCCGGCCGACGCAAAGACTGACCAGTCGGTCGAACGAGTAGGTACACCACCAGAGCCGCCGCCTCAGATCGCGCACATACTCCCGCCTCCCTTTCTCTTTCGCCACCGTCTCCTTCTGCTGGGCCGCCGGGGTAGCCAGACCACTCTCAAGATCCTTGCCGTCTTCGTAGTGCAGCCCCAGGTCGACCGCCAATCTGACGGCCACGCCAATGATATACCACAATCCAGGAGGGACGGGCCTCAACAACGCAAAGTTGGCCAAGAGCAGCACCGCCTGCAAGTCTTCCAGACCACCCCCACTCCCAAGACAAGCCTCAAGATGAACAATGGCACTGGCATGGTACTCCTCCGGCTGACACTGCGTGGATCCGGACGAAGAAGAAGAACCGACCGACGCCGCAGCCGCAGCCGGTGGTTCCCCTTTGGAATCGCCCACGATGATGCCGGCGCCTATGGCAAACACCATGTTCAGCACGTACAGCTCCCGCGGCCCGCGGCGGCGGCCCTCCTCGGCATAGGCCCGTTCGAACATCTCGGCGAACTCGACCTTGTGCAGGACGGGGATCTGCGGGTTGGCGTGCTCAAAGTACAGGCTGACCAGCCTCAGCCCGAGCTCCCGGTCGGGGAACGTCGCCGGGTGGATGGTCGGCTTGGTGTGCAGGCCGAAGAAGGAATCCCGCATCGATGTGCCCGGACCAGCGCCGGGGCCAGCGCCGGCACCGGTGGCGGCGGCACCGCCATTGCTGCCGCCCGGCGAGGGCCTGTACGGGCGTATGCCCCCCTTGTCCGAGTTGGACTTCTGGTCCGAAACAGACGACTGCACTGCGGCAAACACCACGCGCGCAAATGAGATGCCGGAGGTCGAGCCGAGGTAGCGGTTGTTGTTATTATTGGTGGCCCCGGAACTGGCAGACGAGCCTCCGGGTTTCGAGGCTATCCGCTGCAGCCTACCGGCGCCTCCATCGCCGTTACTCTCTCCCCTCCCGCTACTTGGGGCGTAGGTCCCCTCCGAGGAAACCGACTGCCCCGTTTCAATGGGCGACAGGGCAGTGGCCGACCCGGTGCCCGACTTGGAGCAGTAGTCGAGGTCTTGGGGAGGCGGGAAGGTGATGCTGTTGGTGGTTAGCAGGGCCTCGAGCTGTTCCACCCGTTTTTCGAGGTAGAAGATGTAGCTGCGCGGGATCTCCCTCTTGGTGATGGGGTCGTAGCCGACGCAGGCGACGCCGGCCTTCTCGCAGCTCGCGCAGCTCGGCAGCTTCTGGTCGCAGCGGTTCTTGCGCAGCCGACACCGGTTGCACGCGCTCACATTGCGGAAGCTGCTGCTCTGTCCGATCTTGCCCGCGACCCCACCGCCACTACCACCGCTACCGCCATTGCCGCTGGCTCCTCCTCCCCCCCCTCCTCTTCCCCCTTCCCCCCCGAAACCAAGCAGGCCGTTGTGGATGTGGTCGCCCGTCGGGGAGGCAGCGCCGGCCGACAGGAGTGACACTGGGGAGTCCTTATCGGGGGATGATTGGCGGGGGCGTTTGGAGGGCTGGAGGTCCGGAGACGGAGGGTCACGATCGGGTGCCGGCATCCTCTTCTTCTTCTTTTTTTCTTTTTTTTTTTACTTTTTTTCTCCCTCTCTTTTTCTCCCGCAAGCCACCTGGCCGGCCAGCAGCTTCTGAGACAAGAATTCGACGACGTGCGGCTCCGTGATTCGGCGATTAACGGTGCGGCCCGATGCGGATCAGGTGGTCGCCTTCCCCCCCCTCCTCTTCCTAAAATCCCGAGCAGTAACGCCCGCAGCTCACGGCGCACAGCACGGCGCGGGTGGGAAAGAAAGAGCTCGGCCGCCGCGCTTGTCTCGTCCGACGCCGCGGAGAGCGCGGAGCTGTGTGGTGGCTTTTCCTGCCTGGTCGGCCTCGCCCCCTTGCTTGTGGATAGATCCGATCACTATTCTAATCGGCTTTTTTTGTCGGCGCAATGGGTCGGGCCCATGGCTTGAGCTCCGGTATTTTTCTTGCTTCGGCACTTCGCTCGAACCGTGTTCGCACTGTCTTATCTGTAATGTGTTTGCTACCTAGCTCTAGACGCGGGGTCTGGAAACCAAGACAGGCCGGGAGCTCACATGGGATGGCGGGTCGAGCGGCGTCGAACTAAAAACCCCGGATGGTGAAGCGGTGCGGCCGGTGTCTCGGGGGTGTGCATCACTTTCGCGAACGGAGCGGGCAGGAAGTTTGCGCGCAGGCTGGACTCGATAGGGTGATAGGATAGGCCGATAGTACGAAGAAGAGGCGCATCCTAACCCCTGGCGACTGGCAGATCCCCACCAATTGACGGAATGCCCAGGCGGCATGCGGTTCCGTGTGATAGGTAAGCAAGCAAGATAAGTGGGTGTCGGCGAAGAAGTGACCAAAAAGTGGCTCAAACTGATTGTGGTATGTATGAAGTTCGGTGGGGCTTTTCTTTTTCCATTAGTTATCTGCCAACTGTGATGGATGCACAATGTCTTGCTTGCTCTGTACTCACTAGTTAGGTAACTTACGGTCGAGAGATGGTCGATGGCAGATGACATGAATACAAATAAATTCTCAAAGTACCTAACAAAAGCAACTAACCAACCTAAGATAAGAAAGACAATGCACCCCAGCTCGCGGCGCATTGTGTAATTACTTGGTAGGTAGTGTAGTTAAGTGTAGTTAGTTGACCACTTAAACTGGTCCACGGTGGCACCGATGTCCCTGTACCAAGGCAGGGAGGACAGCTTGTTCCGAGCACCATGTCAGAAGAATACGACGTGTCCATCAACTCCAACGCCCATGATGATCGATTGCCTAAACTGTCATTAACTACAAACCACTCATGTCCGTGAAACCCGCCTGCCAAGCCATGTAGTTACGCCTATCCATCCTTCCCTCGCCCGTTAACAGATGAACCAAAAACCAAATACCAATGCGCATGGGCGGGTGATATGTCGTAGTGGGAGGGGGTATACCGAAGAGAGAAACCCAGAATGGCCCAAAGGGAAGCCACAAGCACAAGCAACAAGCACTCCCTCATCTACCGCCGTGTCCATCGACCCGTTGGACCCCACCGTCTCCATGCCATCAACGCGCTGCTGGGCCCTGGGCCCTGGGTGTGGCAGCTGGGGGTCCCGACCAGGTCGGATAGTGGCCTTCCTCGCATGCAAATCGCCCCGATTCTCCTCCGCCCGTGTCTCTAAAACCAAGAAACTCGCTGTGACCTAGCCCCCCAACCCTGAGACATGGAAAACGCCACTATCCCGTCACCCAACCGTCGCCAAAAGAAAAAAGGTGTATGCTCTGCGTGTATCTCTCCCGAGAACCCGCTCGGTGAGCCAACACCAGTCTATCCCAGTAAAACCAAGACCCGGGGAATGTAGTCGCTCGTGAAAATCCTATGCAAAACGCCGTCGGTAACAACCGCCCATCTAAGGCTTGGGCGGCGCAGGATAGCCCTCGAGGGCATCTGGCCATGTCGATCCGTCGACCGAGGAAAACTTGTTCGTCGTGAAAAAAATCCGCACAGGTTTTTAGCTCTGCTGCGTCTGCCTGCCGCTCGTTCCCGCCGCATCCCAGACACCCTGAGGCATTGGAGCCGCCTCGATGTCGAGCTTCTCATCCATCCTCCCCCGAGGCTCCGTGATCTTCAGGCCCACATAGGCACCGCCAATGGTTACCAGACCAGTAACCCACCAAGACAGCCCCGAATACCCGTTTTCCCATCCCATCGAGTACAAGAGACCCGAGATGATGGGCCCCAGCGCGCGGCACAGACTGGCCGTCGAGGCGGCCGCTCCGTTGATCGTACCCAGGGTGAGCGTCGTCGGTGCCGAGTTGGTGATGAGGATGGCGTTGCTCGGGTACGCCAGAGTCGAAAACGTGCACTTCCACACCACGATGAAGTAGACGCTAGCCATCCGGAGGCTCTCGGGGAGGAGGACTATGTAGGGCGTGAAGAAATAGAGAAGCGGGTAGAGGATAGACATGAGTTTGAAGAGTCGGAGAGGGCCCAGTCTTTGGGTAATCAGCGGGAACAAGAAATGCGTCGATGCCATCGAGTAAATGCCTTGTATGGAAAGGATGACGCCAATCGTCCGGGTATCCATGCCGAAGCCGTCGGCGAATTTGAAGGGAAGGGAAATCGGCATCTTGTCATCAGGCGGGTTTGTGCTGAGGAATACCGGAAGTAGTGAATCAAACACCATGGTGTGGCTAAAACGTGTTAGTATTGGACACCAGCGCACACAAGTCTCAGGGACTTACAATGCCAGGATGCCGTATGAGGCAATGATGGTAATCACCGGCTTGGTAAAGATTCTTGCTGTGGGCTTGCCATCCTGCTTCGGTGCCGGGGCGCCGGATGCCTCTTCGAAGCCGACCGGCTCCTGTTCGCAGACCGATGATGCCGAGTCTCCGTTGGTGAGATACCCGGGCAATGTCTCTTCCGTCTCGAATAACAGAGGTTGCTCCTCGGAGTTCTTCGCTGGCAACTTGCCCTCGGCCTTCGCGCTTCTCGCTTGAAGATAGCTGAGAAGATAGTTCCCGAGCTCCACCCCACGATCGCGGCCCTTCTTCTTCTCTGCGTGCGTTTCCTCCAGGAACAAGAGGCCAATGACAACTCCGACCGAGACGCAGATAGCGCTGAACAAGTTCGGCAGGAGGTAAGGGAAGCGGTCCCAAATACTGCCCGGGGTGAAGACCGAAGGTAGGGTGTCGACTGGTTTTGCGAGTGCGCCTCCGATCATGGGGCCAACAATCGAACTGCCCTTGTGGTTAGCACTACCGCTCGAGAATGCCTCCGGCGTTTGCGCCATCCATTGTTACTTACCCGACACACCAGACCAACGGCATTACCGAGTACGCCCGAGCTGAGACACATACATGTCAGTTGTTTCGTTTACCTCCTGCCACCGGGGTTAGAGCGACTCACGTTGATGTTCCTTGACGGTGATTAGTTCCCCAACCGTCGTCTGCAGTACCCCGATATTGCTTCTGCCGTCAGCCGGGCGGCTCCGGAAACCCCGAGCATGCTCCATGAAACTTACCCGTTCAAGAACCCTCCTAGTGCACGAGCAAATAGGGCGACCTGCAGATTTGGGGCAAAGCCAAATGCAAGGACGCTCATTCCTGTCCCGGCCATTCCCATCAGAAGCACGGGTTTCCGGCCGATCTTGTCACTGAGCCTTCCCCAGAAGACGCTGGTCGAGAACTCGGCAAAGGTAAACGCCGAAGTTACCATGCCGGCATAAAAAGAAATTTGGCTCTCATCATCGGTCAAGTTGAAGTCCTTCACCATGTGATAGATGTATGGGAAGATGGACATGAATGCAATCGGCTCGCATATCCGACAAAGGGCTACGGCGTGTTAGTCAAAGGCCCGGTAGGTACTGTGAGCGTTTTCTGGAACTCACCGAGAATGAGCAACTGCTTCCCCGGATATGGGGGACGTTCGGTGGCGACCATGGTAGGCTCCTCCGCGTTCTCATGAAT